GAGGATGAGTTGTCCCTCTCCCTGGCCACCACAGTCACCAGACCTGAATATTATCAAACCTTTGTGGTCTACATGGAACGGAAAAAGGCGTTCTCGTTATCCACCGCCAAACATCGTTATCTGAACTGCCACCGTTTTGCAGGAAAGAATGGTATAATATTCCCTTGGCAAACATACAGGAACTGTATTTATCCATTCCGAGAAGACTGCAAGCTGTTTTGGATGCCAACGGGTTTTCTACACCATATTAAGCAAAGAAACATGTTTTTTTAAAGGTGTTTCCATATTTTTGTCCAACCCCTGTATATTTACCTATAAATTTATGTGAGTGTTAATATGCACATTTACCTATAATGTATGCAAAAATAATAATAAACATAAATGAAATAAATGAAAAAAATGACATTTATAAACATGTTTCAAAACTCGTACAATAAATAAAATCATAAAAAAAAAGACTATAAACTAAGTTTATTCCTTACAAAGATCAAAACTTATCCACAAAACAAAGACCCTCGTTATTTTTGGAAAAGAAAAAACAAAGTCAAATAAAATAAAATGAAAAAATAACGCATCACTTTAAAACTGAAACTGAAAAATAGCAATTTAACTGAAAAATAGCAATTTGGAAGAGAAAGCAAGTACATGAAGTGAAATCTTAATGCTCTAAGAAAAGAAAAAGAAAAAAAAAAAAAAATTCTTGTAAGAATGAAATTTATAAAAAGATAATTATTTATTTATATTATGTTTATCATGGGGTGTTAGGGTAGCCTATTGTACATGGCAAAGTACAAGAGGTATCTGCTTGAAGATTGGCGAAGGTATTGCTGTGATTTTTCCAATGGAAATTGGCTTATATTTACATTACACGTCATAGTAATAATATATTTATTTTGCTTAGCCTGGTCCATTTTTATGTCCTTTATAAAAACCCAGAAATATTTCGGTACTTAACAGAATTATGATAAAATATCTACTCTTTAAACCAGAGCTATTTTATCATAAATTTTAAAACAGCAATAAAACTGCTGTTTAAAAATTTAAGGATTGTATTTATTTTTAATGAATTTATTCCTTTGTATAAAAATAACGGAAGTAAACAAAATCTTAGTCGTGGTCATAACAAAGCCAGAGAGGCTTGTTGGTCTGACCTGCAGAATAGGTTTATAAAGAACAGAGTGAAAGGTTAATGGAATCTTTGTTAGAAAGTAGAAAGGATGTCATTCAAAATCTTCACACCTATTTCTGTGTTAATGGACGGGGAGAGGAAGGAATTGCTATGAAACTGGAAAAGTATTTCAGGCAGTTCGGTATGTTAAGAATACAGGTTAGCTAAGGGTTTGGGTTGAAGAGTTAAATATCAGTCATAATATATAAAGAAATTTATATAAAACAATTACTATTATCCCTGTAGAGGTGTATGGATTGAGATGTTCAACAAATAGAAACTAATTGATAGTGCTTGCGTATTTAATTCTGTAGCTTTATTTTTGTTATTTGATTTTTATCTATCTTGTGTATAGTCTGTCTATGGTAAGAACAGTTCTCGCCAGTTTGTCTGCGGCTGTCTGTTGCCGTAGAAACGAACCCTGACCCATTTTTCGTAGGGGTGTCTTGAAGATTTACTTTTACAGTTTGCCACCTTGGCACATTTAAAGATGATTTGGTGATATTTACATTTTGTTTTAGTTTCAAGTAAAATGCTTGCTCGTTATCTGTGCTCCCAAAACCGTATCATGCTGCCAACATTTCTTAAAAGATAAATTGCTGTCAATCCATGTTTCATCGATGTAGACCATGTGGCATCCACTTGCTCTGAGTTTCCTCATTTTGCATAAATAATTGTTTCTCCAAAATACAATGTGAATTTTTCTTTTGTTAACGCATTTCTTCCAGCGAAAATTCATTGAACGCAAAACTTTTTTTTGCCACGGGAAGTCCATTTTTTGCCTCAAGACAGGCAGTAATTTCCGCACAGATGGCACTTTCTTTTCTTTGATGTAAAAGTCTTGTATTGTCTGCCATATAACGCATTTGTCAAAATCATCAATTTTGCACTTATGATTAGCAAGGCTTTTACGTTTCTTTCCAAGCGTATTTAGAAGTTTATTTTCACTAATTGTTGATACTTCGCGTTTAATTTTTTTAATTGTATACTCTGATACTCCAGTAGCTTGCGATGTTCTCTTCAAAACTTGAGGAAGAAAAACTACTAAAGAGTTCGCCGAAGCTTCGGAAGTGCTTGCTAGTAGCTGGATAGTGCTCGCTAGTAGCAGCTTATGCATGCAGTATAAGCTTTAACTTTTTATTTCATATTTTTCATTATTTTATGGTCACAAATTGAAAGTTAATATTTTTTATGAAAAATCTATAGTATAAATAGAAATCTAATTTAAATATAAAATGACTCTTCTTGTGGGTAAGGAGAAATTCATGATAAATGTCATGTCATTGAAAGCTATGCTGGTTTTCAAATAAAATTGTGACATGGGTAGGTGTATATTCCGTAGTTGCTTGTTATTTAAAATATTTCAGAATATTTTATCATTTCACTGAAATATAATTTCAGTTGTGATAGGTTTGCAAATTATCATCCATTTAATATAGTACAAAGTCCAAAATCCGGACCGGTTGGGACCTCGGCGATTCCGCATTTTGGGATTTTTCCTGATAATAATCATCAATTTAAATCCGGTAAAATAGCATGCAGAAATTATATAATTAAAAATATAAAATCATAATTTATGAAATAAAGAACAATTATGCTATAAAGGGTATCAAAAAAAAAAAAAAACTTAATATTTATTTGTTTATTTTATTAAACATTTCTTTCAATATAAGTTGTTTAAGATGCTTCCACGAAAAATTCAAAAAGTTCCCTTTTCTTTTTTGTGTCATATACAGCGGACATTCCAATGCCATACACCTCACATAATTTTGAGGCAGATATGCCTTTATCCATTTTTTGCAGAAATTCCACTTTTTGCTTAATGGACATCGAAACAAATAAAAAACAACATGGTAGATCCTATGGCAACTCTAGAATTGGAAATTCTTTTCGACATAACCGAAAGTTCAAGCTTAGTTTTTACAAAATTGCCATAATAATAACAATCTGCAAAAAAATAATAAGCTGGATCAAATTAGAAGATTAGGGAGCAGCGTAGTCTGCTACATTAATTGAAATGCCTTAGAATCAGTAAAGATAATTAAGACACAGTAACACGCCAAATAAGTACTAATTCAAAAGTCAAACAACAAAAATCAGCGTCTGATTTTTGTTGTTTGGCTTCTGAATCTGGTCATTTTCAGAGAGTTCTTTTATATATATATTATAAAAGTTTGAAGACCAGTAAGTCTTGATATTTACCTATGTAAGATAATAAAGTTCTGAAATTTCTTTAGTAAGTAAATTATCTTACTTTGCAGCTATTGCGCAAGTATTAGAATAACTTGATTTCAAACTAATGAATTTAAAATTTTATATATATATACTATATCTATATTGGGCTTTTCGAAAGAAGTATCGATAAATATAAGGATTTATCAGTTAGCTTTGAAAATTAACGCTGATTTTTGTTGTTTGACTTCTGAATCAGTAAAGATAATTTTAGCGTAGCTTAATAGCATCCATTATACATTATTGGCTGTGTATCACAAGATTGGCGACGAAAGCCAAGTTGTTTCGCTAAATTTTGTCTTGCTCCTATTGCGTATTGAGTTAAGCCTAAATTGTATTAGTTTAGTTACTTACTATACCTAAGTTTATTTCTTGTACATGCTTAAAACTAATCTGAGTCCTAAATAAATAAACACCCACATATACTTAAGGCTTTATCTAGAGCCGGTGCTCGATACCGCCTAGTGCAGTCGCTACAGGTCCTAAATTCTACTGCAAAGTGCTTTCCTAAGTTCTAAATTTTCACCGTGCCTAAACCTTCGATCCCAGTGCTTGCCCTAAATCATAAAAACTTCTCATTCTTTAGTTTTGCCGCTCAGTGCTTCCCTAAATTCCAAAAATTTTGTCTTCCCTAAATTTTGCCATCCGGTGCCAACATATTCTGCCGCCGCTTATAGGTTTATGGTAAATAACATAGCAGCTATTCTTAATTAAAATAGCACTAAATGTATTCTTTTGGCCTATGATTTTCATTAACAAAATCTATTTTTAGCATATGAAAAGAAATTTTTGTTTAATTTTTCCTCATCACCATTTCTTAAAGCATTTAAAAATGTATAATCATCGCCAAGCGTAATAAAAGGTTGCCATACTCTTGTTATTCAATTACTAATATAAAAAAAGTTTAGACATCACTGCAAAAGTTATTACTGAAGCTGTCATGTATTGGTAAACGTGCGGTGATAAAAGCAAAATATAATAAATAATGACTCTCCAGATCAGCATCAGGGATATAAAATAGGTGAATGTTTCGGTTTGAGATGTATGCCAAGTAAATACTCAACTACGGAGCCAAATTATTAATATCACAAATATAAGCTTACATGATTGTTTTTCATAACGAGGTATTTTATTTAGTGCGTGAGTGAATTAAGAATTGAAATTTTAAGTGAAAATCTCCACGTTTTAATATGTAAGGAAAAATCAAATGTGCATGCGTAAAGCATTAGTCAAAAAAAAAGGTTTGTGGCTTTGAGGTCCGGATTTTAGATCATTCCGGATAATGGATGCCCAAATTTCGGACTTTGTACTGTATTTCTTAATTTATAGCAGTTCATAGTTGTGATAGCTCTTGGAAAACTCTTGGAAATTGCTCTTAAAAAAAAAAAAAAAGACAGCTGCTATCCAATATTCTTTCTTTCAAATTATTTATGCTGACTTCTATATCTTATGAAGCATCATTATTTCTGTTCTTCTGTTTATAATTTAATATCAAATCTTCCCAGATTATATTTTCAACAGTTATAAGTGAATATGTTGTGACATTAAAAAAGTTACTATTGGTTTTACTGTTATGACTCACTTCATTTATAATTTTCAGGGCCATCTTCCTGCTCTTAAAGTTCATGCTTATTTTGCTCCTGTAACACCACCACCATCTGCTGGAGGAGGAAGACCTCGTTATTGCCGTTGCTGTGTTATTCTTTGAAAACTGTTTATAGTAATTTCTATTCTTTATCTTCTGATGTATCATGCAACAGTTATACCTTAAGTTGCAATGAAAAATTTAAATGTGTTATGTTGCTAACACAGCATGGTGAAAGTTTTACAGGTTATCTCATAGTCATCATAAAGTCATAATTTTGCACATATGGCAAATGTATATAAGGGTTATATATTTGGAGAAATCATTGGCTTTTGTTACTTGGAAAAAAAATATATAATGTTGGCTTAGTAATAATATAATGTTGGCTGCGCTTGTAGTTTTATATAAATTTTTTTAAAGTTTTTTGATGATGCAAAATATGTAGTTAAAAAGGGATGTCGTAATAAATTTTCTCCATTTTATATAAAAATTTAAGCATATTTGTTAGAATGTTTACTTTAAAATGGATTACACATGTTTCAGTTTTGCTTCCAAAATGTGCAAGTCTTTTTTTTATAAGTTTAAATTAATTATTATGTATGCATGTGGTTTATTTTATGTTGCATTTCTTTGACCCAGTTCTGTTTATTAAATGGTATTCTAATTAAATACTAATTCAGAATTAGCTCTTTTGTTTCTGAGAGTAAAACTCTGCAGTTTTCAGTTAAGAGTGGATAAACATGAGACATGTACCATATTTATTCATATATTCCCTCCTCTTTCACTGACTAGATAGTGCAAAAATCCAGAGGGAACGTAAAATGGTCCATATCATTTTTTACAGTAGTGTTAAAAAACTTATCTGGTGTAAGACTTTTACTATGCATTTTTTATTTCAAAGAAGTAAGTTTCAGGTAATGTTTTGATTAATATTCCATAGCTATCTACTCATCTGATTTTACTAGGGGACTCGCATATTTTTATCATAGATCACTGAATCTTGTTTTTTTTTTATTTTTAGCCTGTCCTGGAGCACGTATTTCCTAGAAGTTAATGATATTTATTTAATATAATGAAGCTTAAATTGCACAAATTCCATTCCCTTATCTAGCAATTTTTAACATTTTTCTGAATAAATTTTACTTGAGCTGAATTATTTTAATCACTTGTATAAGCATTTATAGAACTTTTCAGGGAAATTTAAGTATTATTTAATCATTTATATTTATAGTAAATTTTATTTTACATGAATATGTAGTGCATTAGACATTTATTCAAATAATATTATTTATGTTAGTTGTTAATTTTATCATATTAAAAGTACTTGGATATAAATATAAAAAGGTTTCTTTCCATACTCAGAATTTTCTCAGTATGATGTTATTGTATCAGCAGCAGGGTGATTTTACACTCAAGTAGAGATTCTATTTCAGTTGCTTTTATGAAGAACATAACTGGAGAATGGATTCAAACCATCAAGCCACTCTTTTAGCTCACTGATATTTTAAATCGATCTTGATTGGGATTGGGTTTAAAGCCCAACAAAAAGGAGCATTAATCATTATATTGATCAGGAAAACACTTTTCAATATAAAAGTGTAATAAATTTTCAAAATAAAATTAGCTGAAGAATGTAAAATTTAGAATATCTAATTAGATAATCATATATTTTACATCAAAATCATTTTAATATAGTTCTATAACATGCATCATACATTATAAAATGAATTTACATCAGTTTAGAGTTCTTTTGAAATGCATCATTGAACAGGCAAAAACCTCATGCAGATTCATTGTTTTTCATGTTGCAAGATTGGGTGATAGTTATTCTTTTTTACTTCTGCACTGTAAATTGCTATCCTTGCCCTGAAGTGCATGTGCAAGCAAAGTTTCTTGTTAGGCGACCTTTAAATCAAGAATATAATCCATCTGATAAGAGTTTAGAATGAATGACTTTGAAAATTTTAATGTAAAGAATATCAATTTGTGAAATTGCAGGAAATCCCCCCCCCCCCGAAGAAGAGCTAGCTTACTTTATTCAGGCAGGAAGTTGATAATTAGTTGATGAATTGAAAGTCTTTAAATTACATGGTGAAAAAGTTAGCGGTAACATTGAAGAAGAGTAATATGTGAATAAATATGGTAATCAGTATCTTAGTTTGACTTTCATAGCATAGTCTAAATTTATGATTAGTATTTGATGTGAAAAACTCAAATGTTATGTTCTAGTTAACTAATTTCTAGTTCTAATTAACAAAATTGTTTAACTTTTGATGCAAAGGATTCAAATGTTAAAATTTATTCATACTAAAAATAAAAATCTTTTATTGTCTTGTGTAAACTCATGGAGGTAATCAGTATAAATTCTGGCTGGTTTATGAGAAAGTAAATATCATATAATATTTTCCCTCTTCTTATTAAAAAGAATAGTATTTAATTATTTCTGCATTTCTTTTTGTAAAATTTGTTTATAGACTTATTTATTTAATTTTTTTTTAAGGAAAATTTGTAGATTGCAGATCTACATCTTCTAAGGAAGGTCTTAAAATCTTATCAGGGTTAACTAAAAACATTTGAGAAATTAATATAAAAATTTATACTTTTAATGCTGAATTTCCATAAAAACTTTATTAAATTAAATTAATAGATTTTTATACCTAATAGCTGAAAGTGACTACTGCGGTACATACACTCTGACTGAACAAAATTTTGTGGAATTTTCTTCTGTGGTATTTCCTGTGTTCTTAAAATTGAAAGGTCTTTGAATTTTCCAAATTAATTGAATTGAGTATTTTTGATGATCGAGATTAGTGGAAATGTGTACAGAAAATTTTCTTTGAGAAGTAAACAGAGGTTTTTATATCAAGAACAACAAGATCGTGAATGCAAAAGAAATTGAGTTTCTATGACTTCATTGAAATTCCGGTAATTTCTCTACTACTATTGTTTGTTTCCACTAATAATATGTAATCCTATTTTCATCTAGTAGAAATTTCAACATTTTTGTGTAGGCAAAAATTATTAATCTAAAATTTTGATACATGATTTTGCTGTTTTTATTCATAATCATTGGTTTTATTGATACTTATGTTATCATTTTTATCAAAACTATTAAGATTTGTTTAGTTATTTTTTTTAATTAAGAATTTGTTTAGTTTTTTTTTTTTTTTTTTTTAATTTAAGAATTTGTTTTAGTTATTTTATAATTGTTAGTTATTTCTTGACTGAAAACACAATTGACAGCATTACCTGTAACATTTCTGTTTTTGTCTAACATTTTAATACCTTAGTTGATATGTATGACACTAACACGTTTAAGCATGTCAATTTCTTCTTTTCTTCTCTCCCCCCCCCTTTTTTTTTTTTTTTTTTTGTTATACCTTCCAGTTCAATGATTTAGTAAAAAATGCATACGTGCTGTACTAATGCGATTGGTTTAAGGATGTATTTATTAGAGATTGCAGTCAAGAAATTTTATTATTGATGATTATTATATATCTTTTATCTTTTAAAAAGTAACAGTTTTTATAATAAAGGTACAAGTACTGGGACTTTAAAAATAACATTTTTATAGAGTGCAACACGACATACGCGAGAGATCCAGACCTTATATATCATATAAAATTCATCTTCTTTTATAAGTTTTTGTATTTCAAGTACATACGTGGATACATGATAAGAATTACAGATGAATTACCATATTTACTTGTGTAATTTTCCTTCTAGATTCCAGCATATGATTTAAAAATTTGTGGTTTATGTTAATCATGTAAAATGTATAGAATACAAAAAGGCAAGTATTTTATGTAAATGAAGAGAATATTGCTGAAATTGTTAAATTCTTTGAAATACATAGTACGATGATATTAATGTATCTTTATATATGCTTTTTAATGTGCCATGTTTTAATATTTATGCCATCTCTTCAAAAATAGTATACAATGTGAATTTTCCCATCCCGGTTTTCAAATGCTAAAATTAGTTGGGAAAATGTGGAAGTAAATATGGTACTATGTAGATAGAATAGAAGTATTTAAGCAAATGATTCTCAAAGGTTAAAGATTTCTCTTCCTCTTTTAAAATAACACAGTGTTTTTAGCTTGTTTCAAGGAATTCTAAGAAACTCAAAAATATTTGCTATATTTTTTTAGAGGCGGGAGAAGGTTCTATTAATTTTACTTTATTAAAAATTTATACTAAAGAGATATTTTTTAAATATAAGGAATTATGTGAGCATATGATCTCTTTTACTCTTTGTTATAGAAATTTATTATATATGCATTAGTCTTTTTAGATCAATTTAAAGCATTTTATTATTTTAGTGTTTATTGAAAATGAGATTGTGAGAATAAGAAAACTAGCATTGTCCTCAATCATAGCTATGTTACCATATGAAAGATTCTGCCTCAGATTATTTCTTTTTCATATAAAATTTAAAAATGTAATATTTTAAAAGTAAAATCAATTTAACAAACTATTGTATTCTATAACATTTCAAACATATTGGTTGTCTCAAATCTAACTGAATTGAGTATGATGATCGCAGATTCATTATTTAATCATGATCATTAAAAGCATATTTTATGGGGTTTTTTTTTTTTTTTTTTTCCAAATTTTCCTATATTAATTTTAACCTTTTTTTTTTCTCAAATTGAAATGATTTTTCTTTACAATCTTTAAAATACACATTTACAAAAATCTAATTTAACTTTTCCCTGTATTACGAAATGCCACTGAGCATTGTTATACCCTAAAAGCAGATTTTAATATAAAATGTTGACAAATATTTGAGTTCTAGTTTCATAAAAGTGTTGTTGTTAAGATGGAGAGAAACTCCATAACTCCATCTTATGATGTAAAGACTTACTAATATATTAGTTGGTTTACTTAATATTCATTAATTAAGAGTTAATTTAATGAATGACGGTACATATTTCATCACATATAATTTATTTAAAATTAATTCACAAGCTGAATAAAAAACAAAAGCTGAAAGAATTTTCTTTTCAAAAATGTAATAATTGAATTCATGGCAAATAAGTTATTTTTATAAAATTTTATATCTGTTGTTTATAATGAATGAATCTGTGTATTGTGGGAATTTGCATCTTTTGAATGATAGAATTAAAGATGAAACATGAAGTTGAATAATTCACACAGAGCACTGAAATTAATATGTTTGAACAGAACGTTAACAGTATTTTGCAAAAAAAAAATTTTCCTTTTCTGTCAGTTTGATTTAACTTGTTGCCTTATGATACAGTACAGTCTTTAATCCGGACTCGTCGGGACTTCGGTGATGCCGGATTAGGGGTTTTTCCGGATTATAGATCATCAATTTAAATCTGGTAAGATGGCATGCAGAAATTGTAAAATTAAAAATATGAAACCGTAATTTATGAAATAAAGAGCAGTTATGATCTAAAGGGTATCAAAATTTACAAAAAAAAAAAAAACTTAATATTTATTTGTTTACTTTAATAAACATTTCTTTCAATGTAAGTTGTTTAAGTTGCTTCGTTTTATGTGCTAATTACTTTCTCTTTGATTCTATAAATAGACATAATTTCTTGTTGAGTTACAAAGTTCTATGTTCAAGTCCTATAATTGCTGTGCCGAGAATACCGACTAACTTGTCAATCGAAATTTTTTCGTTTTCACAAACCTCTCTGTCACTTTCTTCATGCCTTTATCCATTTTTTGCAGCAATTCCTCTGTTTGTTTGATGGACATCGAAACAGGCTTTCACTTCGTATATCCTTTGGCAGCTCCAGAATTGGAAACTCTTTGACGTAAAAAAGCTTTTTGAAAGTTCAAGCTTACTTTTTATGAAATTGCTCTAACAGTCTGCAAAAAATAAGCCAGATCCATTTAGAAGATTAAGGAACAGCGCAATCTCCAACATTAACTGAAATAGATAATTAGATAATTTTAGCCTAGCTTATACCGCTCGTTATACATTAAACACACATGCGTAAACATGCGCATGCGTAAAACGCAGAAAGTTTGTAGCTTTGAGGTCTGGATTAAGGACTTTGTACTGTATTCATTTATTTTATTAACCCCTTCAATACAGTGTAGTTTAAGTGTTTTTTTATATTATTAAATTTTTTATGTCCATCTTTGAATATTTTTCTTTCTTTGAAGTAAAAGTTTTTGGAAGTAAATAATTGAAAAGGATAAAAGTAGGAAACAATAAGAAAATAGCTGGTGGAAGAAGAAAAACCAGATATTTATAATATTTTATGTTATCTTTCTATATTCTTTTTCATATTTTTTATTAATTTGTTAGGAAGAAAATATTTTCTATTATTTATACATACATATTTCAATGGTGCAGCTTTACTAATTTTTCCAAAGTTGCTTCAAAGGATAGATCCTTTTTCCGTTTAGTCCTATGACAGGAAATTGATTCTTTATCAAAGAAATTGATTGTTTGAGTACTTCTAAAAATTTTGAAAATGCGTAATGATAATGGTTCGATTTTATCCCTTTCTTTAAATACACTAATATACCATATACATTTCATTAATGTTTTGAGAACTTGAGGTAGAAAGTGCAGCAGTGATTAAATCAAAAAATTGTTAAGTTTCATCCCAAGTTCAAATAAAGTGGTTTATTTTTATCAGTAATGTTTCCTTCTGAAATTAATGAAAATCCAAGGCAGTTTCTCAAAACATCTTACATTTTTCAAGAGAAATATGTCAATATGTGCTTTGTGATAATTAGTTAGCATAAATGAACGATGAAGAAGTTATTAAAAGTAAGGTCAGTTGTCAGAGTTAAAATTAAGACAATTAGTAAATTGAAAGGATACATGTAGCCAGGATACTGAAGTTGCAAAATATTAGTATTTTATGCAGAAGTGGGAAAGGCTTATTGCTTGGACATTTTTATAATTTCTTAATGTTTAACATGCATATGAGCTATTTCTGAAAGATATGTAATGAAGAAACTCTTAGATAAATAGCTTAACTAATGCTCTTACTACAACCAAGAACTTGCCAATGAACTTGGATAACTTATTCATTTTCATTGTTCTTCATTATCGCATCTAATAGTTAAATATATGTATAAAATAATTTTGCATGTAAAGCTAATGAAAAAGGTAATTAATTAAAGTCAATCATTTAATGTTGGTTGATAAAATTAATTCTATGTAATTTAAAGTCCTTTCTTGTGTATAATTTGCAGTTGGATTTGTTTTTTTAAATTTATAAAATAATTAAAATATTAGTATCATTTATTTTATTATGCATTCTTTTGTCATGTAACATGAGGTATTTAAAAAAAAAAGGTTCTAACACTAAAATATCTTGCAAATGATCGATTTGCTGATCCAAAGTTCTAAGCTGAGAAATTAACCAACTTAGGTAAGGTTTCTAACTACAGTGGGATTGGTATTGTGATGCTTTTTATTTATAGTATACAAAATGTAAATTTACATTAAGGCTGCCTGCAAAGAAAGTTCCAGTTAAAAGATAAATTCTGAAGAGACTTTATTAGGTACAATTATTTTTCATTTTAGAGGATTAAACTAGTAATAATTGAAATTTGAAAGAAATTGATCTATTTTAACTTTGAAGTAATTGTATTAATAGGGTACTACATTGCACTGAAGTGTACATAGCTGTTTTTCAATAGCAATATACTGTAATAAAAATTTAAAAAATATGAGAATATTAATGTCTAATACCAATTTCCCACAGTCATTTTTAGGATATTATGTGTTTCTTAAATTTATTTAACCCTCTCAGCATTACAGAGAGAAAATTCTGTATAGAAGGCTGGCTTTCCTATACCATTACATGTGAATATATCTGCCAGCATTTAATGTATATCTGATTTCAGGTTGGTTGTATAATGAAAGGAAGCAAGGTGCAAAATGAAAGAGTCATTTTTTAAAATTATAATCAAGAAAATACAATTTATTCATGACATTTTGAGGAACTTTGAAATTTGAGGGCTAAACTCATAACGCTCAGAGGGTTAAAGATCACACAAAGATTTTGGAATTAAACTGTGCTAATTCGCTGTAAAATTTCAGTGTCATACTTTTCCATATTTCTTATCTTTGTTAGAGGATATTTTTATTCTCTTTTTTGAAGTAATAGAAACTTTTTAATTTCTTAAAGTGATTTATGTTAAGGGATGTTATGAATGCGAGAGTGATTTTCTGCGTGATGAGTTTCTTGGTTAATAGACTCATTTAATAGCAATCTATTTAATTGAATGAATATGTATAAATCAAAAGGAAGCGAATGTTCTAATTAAATTATTCCTGTTTAGCATCCCTCCCTTTTATTAAAGAGTCATTTGCAACAGGTATTTTGACTTTATAGCAGTAACTGATTAGGGTTCCAAAAAAATAAGTGAAATATCAAAGTATTTAAATTATTGGCAAAGCAGGTTGCAGAATTTGTAAAAATAAGCGACCCAATCTTATTAATTTAAAATTATAGTTCTTTATTGTTATTAAAAGCTGTATTTAAAACAATTATTTTTTTCAATGTGAAACAAAGAAGTATTTGCATTCATTAATTTTAAAATATGCTTTCTTTTACTTTAACAACAAGAGAAATTATTTTGATACATTTTTCAAATGTTAAACCATATGTATAAGATAAACATTGCTTACTAGTAATTGCACATTAGTAATCTGCTATTTATTTGTAAAGGCGGAATGTCATTTTGATTGTACACACAATGTACAATTTTTTTTTTTTTTTTTTCATTTATCTTAACTCGGACATTTGAAGTTTCTAATTCTTGGGTAAATAATAGTTTAAAAATGCTCCATTTTTTAAAGCATATTATTTTAAAATTTATCAGTATTTTAAGAAACTTCTTATTCCATTGTAAAGTAAATAGGGTTTTACCTTGATTTTACGTATTAATTAGTTCAATTAAAAGAAAGCAGAAAATTAAGTATGTTTGCTTGTAATTTTTTTCTTTCTTTAACTTAATAAGTGTGGTTATTTTTATGCATATAGCAAATTTTTTGGTACATTAATACAATTTTTATCACCTACTTGTGAAAGTCACTAATGCATATCATCATTTCTGAATTTAAATCTCTAATGCAAGCTTCTGTCTTTCCTTTATAAGTTATTGGATCAAAAAGGGTTCATGCAAGATTGCTAATTTAATTATTAACTGACTGCTTACTTTTAAAATGTTTGTGAATGCTTTTTCATGCATGTTATTAAAATTTTGTAATAGTTCTCTTCTTCTTGTTTTTAAACTATGGTTTTTTTTTGTACTACTACCACAGCTTTAATTGCGAGTGTTAGTTTCACAAATGCAAGTGGTGGTTGCTGAAACTAGTGTAGTTTAGTATTTTATATAAAAAAAAAGTACTATAAAATTTTATAATATAGAGCTCTATAACTTGTAAAAATTACATTTTTGATTTCAATATGAATCAAGAAGTATAGGTAAATCAAATTTGTTATCCTGCTTAATATTAACTTTTTTTTTACTTTATTTAAGTAAGAGAAGAAAATGCTTCTTGCATGAGTATATCTAGTGTATAAAATTCAGTGTTATTTAGAATGTTTCTTGATAAATAAATATGAAATTAGATTTTAGTTATCATTTTTTGATAAATTTAATTAAAAGTTTTCATTTAGAATCTAATATATATATTTTCTTTGAGGGAATAAATTCTTCAGTGCCTAGCGCAAAAACATACTTAAATTTTGATTTTGGTGGAAAAAAGATATTTTTCTAAGTGTTTTATATCCACTTTTAATTGAATATTTGATATGCAAGAATGAGTAATATGCTTTGTTTATTAGTATATTATTTTATTTTTAATTTTTTTTCATTTTTAATGATAAACATTCCACAATTGCACTGTATGCTGTGGGGGGGGAAGTAACTTTCATTTGTTATATATATTTATTTACGTCCCTGTGAAATGCACAATGTTACTAAATTATTATCTAAGATTTCCCTTCTAATGTAATTAAATTAGATTCCCTCCCTTCTGCGGGCATTCTGTTGTTGAATTTCTATAAATTTAGTATATAAAAATGTTTTCCTTATCCCTAAATTTTTAGTGGCATTTGTTCTTAATTCTTGTGAGAAGTAATATACATGATAAAATAAATTCTACATAAATTGTACTTTTTTCACATGAAAATGCACATTATTAAAAAATGGCTTAATGTCACTTTGAAAATAATGCTGAAGTAGCTTAAATGTATTTATTTTATTTTATTATTATTATTTTTCTTTACATTTTAGTTATTTTAAAACTCAAAATGATCCTTGCTTTGCTGTAAGTATATATTTTGTGCTTTTATCAAATTGTTTGTACAATAAAGTACTTCACTTTTTTAACCAGTGAAATGTATATATTTTGTATTACTAATATTTATTAGACATGAAAGTATTTCTACAGCATACTATCAAAAATATTATATGTATTCTAAGCATGGTTGTGATGCAGTACTAATGATATTTCAGTCTTATTATTTTAAATTTCAGTACCTTTAATTCATATTTTGTTCATACCAGTCTTGATTATAAAAAGGTTGTGTAACCCTATCCATACCATTCATAAATTGAATTTCTGAGTATTTCATGCACTTCATAATTTTCATAACTGTATACTGCTTAATTTCTTTATAAGTAGTATATTTATTAAATTTGATTTATTTAAAATTTTATTATCATTAATGTATATTTTTAAAGTAAAATTTTCAGTAATAATAGAATTTTAATGTTGGCAATAGTTTTTATTCAGGTGCAGCCATTTTATCCCTTAAATTAATACCCCCTCAAATTAATAACCTCAGCTTTTTTTTTTTTTTTTTTTGTTTGTTTAGTTAATATAATTTAAATTTTTGCATACAGTTTTCAGAGCTATTGAAATTTAATTGAAAGAACCACATCAGATTGGCACTTAGTTTTTCAATATATTTTTATTTCAGAATGAAAATTATTTAAAGTTTAGAAATTAAAATTGTTGCTTGAAATATTATTAGGAAGTTTTTATATTTATGAATTTAGTCTGTTCACTAGTCAGTTTAAATCTTTAGTAAATCAAATTAATAATGAGTAGTTTTAATTAGAATATCAGTTACTTACTTTTATTATAGCCTTTGCTATACTCATGTTCCCTTTGAGACTCTGAACTTGAATCTTAAAATTCTCCCTTATTAAAAAATGCAACACTGAGAATAATTTTTATTAAGTTAAGATACTCAGTTTTGTGGAATAAAAAAGTGCTTTGTTATCTAACATTTACTGGAATTTAGTGTTATATTTTTTTAAAGAAAAACATTGATGAGTGAAAAATAACTTGTACAGATTTTTTGGATAGTGGATTTACTCTGTCATATTATGTATATTATATGTACATTTTGTTTACTAATTGTGATCTGTAAGGTCTAAAATACTTGACTTTACCTCATCTTGTGCATTCTTTTTTCATATAATGCAATGATCTGCATTTTGAATTGCATACTGGCTTATCTTATCCTCTGCAAGATATAAAAGTGGAAATGCTTCTTTTATGTAAATATATACCTATATGTATTTGTAAAATGTTGACTTAAACTGCTTATGTGTTTTTGTATTAGTATATGTATATACAAATTTGTATTAAAATAAAAGAAGCAGACAATCTAGTGTAAATTTTATATTTATAATATAAACATCTAAAAATAACATATATAGATTTTGAACTTTCATGCAATCATAGTTTAAGGTTATAATGCATTTCCTACATTTGGTTTAAAAAAATGTTAATTATGAAAGTCCTTTTTAATTTAATTTGAAAATTTATTTGAATTATGACTATAATAAATTAAAATTTTAAACCTTAAAACCTTTCTGATTGATATTAGGAATTTGATAACTCTTTTAACAGTGTATTTAATTTTTGATTTTTTTCCTTCAAAATTGATAAAAAATTGATCCAAATTGTTATCAAAAGTATAGAAGTTAGGCATAATTTAAAGTTAAAATTTCTTCATAGAAACAGATTTTGTTTAATTTTGTAGTTGTTAATTTAAAAGAATTTCAGTTCCATTTATACATAAATTTTGTCTCTGCACTTCAGGATTAAGTTTTGCTCTGCAATTGCAGCATTTTCAGTCTGAAAGAAAAGGAAGAGTATATTGAATGTAATTTTAAAATGAAAATGCCACAATATGTTGTTTTATTCATTTATTTATTAAAGTAAATTTTAAAATTTACATATATAAATAAATGTATAATGACAGCTTGTATTTAATTGCATCCCTTTGTGAATAGTGGTCTTTTAATATTTGGCATGCATGCATTTAAACACACTACTAAAGCACTGAGAAATCAAAACCTCTGGTGTACGTTTAAAAAAAAAAAAAAAATCTGATGTGTACACCACATGCCTTCCTTGCACGGAATATTAAATTATACACATTTTCCTGCATTTCATTTAAACTTATTGAATAGAATTAAATCTACTTCGTCGATAGCGCATATACCACAGTAGAATTAATGTGCTTTTTAAAATTCACCATAGCAATACTCTGGTATGGAAATGTTTCGTCTTTTGCATGAAGAACTAAGAGATTTCTGACCGTGTGATATTCAGAATATCTCTTCAAGTAAACTCTGTTAACCTTGACCAACACGAGTGTCATCATATTGGTTAGGGTTACCCCGACCAGTCGTCTGTCATCGTATTGTTCAGGTCGTTATTGGATTCAGAGAGTTTTACAGAATGATCGTTGCCCTGAAATTTGATGGTCGTTATTTTTGCGATTTCACGAGTTTCCGAGGTCTTTAGTTTAAAAGCTTAAAGTCAATAAACAAAATCATTTTAAAAAACTTGCTAACTTAAATTTACTGTAACTACTACTATACTAACGTAAATATAATAATTGATCTAAATTTGCAGTAAACTGATAAACAACCTAAATTTGCAGTAATGAATACAGTTTTGAAAATTCATCTAAAACTTACTTTCATGAATATTCTATATTTGAATGTAATATTTTAGTTCTAAATGCATATAAATATCTAAACAGTTACGTCAGATATGTATGAGTTATTGAGAAAGGCCAACTTACCATTTAGTTCCTATTTTGTGCTTTCTCTGTAGTGTTGTTCTTTTTGTAACTTTCATGAATGGTATTACATAGTCGAGGTTTTCGCACAAATTCTCGTGACCTTTGGCAATGGATGTCTAGAATTGGGATTTTACTTCTCTGTTTCGGGAAACTTTGATTTTTCCTTGCATTTGCCGAAGTATTGTCGTTATCTTCTTTGGAATCAGAAACTGCCTCTCTCAAGTGGGGTTCTTCTGGTACAGCATCTTGTAAAGTTTTAATTTGATTAGGTTTTACATCAACTGTATTAATGGATTTAGTTATATATTTATTGGAATATGCTTCCTTTGCAATATCATTGTGATTCATATTTCGGGTTTCCAATTTCTCGCCAGCGTCAGATTTTTCATTTAGTGTGTTGTTTTGAGAAGTCCGAAGACATTTCGTATTTGTTGGCCGATTCGCTTTGTATGATCGAAACGGTTGAGAAAATGCGCTTCGATTTTGGGCAATGTACTGGTTATCACCACTAGCTAGGTTTGTAGTTTTTGATATTTTAACCGATGTCTGCTGCATTTGAGGGTTGCGAAAACCCATTGCATTTCTTCCTTGATTTTGTCTGGCACTAGTGACTTGTACTGTGCTTTCTACTGTAAATTCCTTTTCGATCCGGGGATTTAAGTCGTCTGTTCTCCCATTAAGTATAAATTTATCTGTAGCACGGTCAGCACCCTGGGTTTTTTCATTATCTTCTCGATATGGTCTGTAAGGCATACTTAATTCATTTTTGGATAATAATTTCCTATATTTTTCAATTTCTTCTTGTTCTGCATGAGAATAAACCTTCTTCCAGCACTCGAAATGGTAAAGAAAAGAGTCTTCATACAATCTTGGTGGATAGAGACTATCTTTCACTAAACTGTCACGAACCATAAAATACAGTGCAGCAGCCCTGTTGCTGCTCTTCAGACGTGCAGCCAGAGATTCTTTTGAAATATGCAATTTGTTGGCAAGATATTTCACAACCTGTTAAAACATAAGTCACAAATTTTACCATGTTTGAACTAGATAAAGCGCTATGGATATGCAGAAGGTAAACAAACATTGATGAAGATTATAAATATTAACTTATATCCTGAACTGAAAAAAGCCCAACAGCTGTCTAAGGTGATACAAATTACGAAGTTCTGTATTCAATTTTTGGCCCTTATATAAGCTGCCAAGTTTTTTTGGGGATGTGGGCTTTTCTTTCCAAATGCAGCACAATTATAAACCAGTTTCTGATGCAGCATCTTCCACGAAGGCAACCCTCTTTTTACAGTACAAACTCGTCTCTACTAACCCTCTGGTGCTTTTGGGTAACAATGAACTAGGAGAATACGAAGCTGATATCTAAAATAATTATATTTGTAACCAAATTTTTATATACAACAAATCTCAGATTTACGTACTATTTAATAGATGTAGAGATATAGGATTATTCCACACATACAAGTAACAGCAGTATATATTAACGTAATTATTCATGAATTTTAATTATTAATATACACCAGTGTTCAAAACTTAAGCAACAAATTAATTTTTCACCATGCAAGCATAAAATGATTGAAAAGGACTTTTTGCGATCAGTACAATGAAAAGCCAACTCTGTAAAAAGGTGATTGAGTTTGCAAATATTAGTACCATGCCATCAGAGGGTTATGTCAGAGCTCGCAAAACGCGAGGAGTCAATGCACGCAGTGCAAGGCAACTTAAAAGGAAGGCGCATTTCGAGGTATTCTTCTACACGTGAAATTGTACGTGCAGTATGGCTAGAAATCATCAGGACGCCTTTAACGTGGTAGAATAATTGACAAGCTTTAGGAGAAACATAGTTTGACGTTTGTCGCCCAAGAGTTTGGGACTGATGGAAGAAAGTGTTATTTCATGAAGTTGGAAAGATTTCCAAATGACAGGTATAGCTGTAAGAAAGGTTGATGGTCATCAGCCAAGGAAAACAAAATTAACTGATAACCAATATATTGAAAAACAGATCGAAATTTGACAGCAGGCATCATTCCTCAAGCAGTTACGGACGACAACTGTCCCAGTTTACTACCTGACGACTTCATAAAGATAGTCTAATCGCCCACCTTACTAAATGCTGAATGTCATTGTCAGCAGCCCATGGGCGGCGCCCTTTACAGTGGTGTAGAGAATACAAAGACTGGACATCTCATCAATGGAGTCATGTCCTTTTTACAGATAAGAGCCATTTCAGCCTGACAAACAACTCTCAGCATCAGCTGATGTCGAGATAGGGGTTCACTTACCGGATTGTTACTGTAATGAAGTTATCCTCCACCACGTGTGTCTTTTCCGAGGTGCCATTGGTCCCGATTTTGTTTTTATGGATGACAATGCTCTGGGCACAGAGGACCAATGTTGTTCATTAGCTCCTGGAAAGGAAAGATATCCATAGATTGGATTAACCAAGTGCTTGTCTAATTTAAGTCCTTTTGATACTTTAGTGAGACACCTTGTGGCACGATCTTACACTCCAGAGAACAAACAACTGAAAGAGATGCTCATTGAAGAATTGGAACTCTTACTCCAAGAACTGTTATATAAGCTCGTGCTGAATATCGACAGACGGTGCAATGCAACCATTCCATTTAGAAAGGTTTGTCCCTAAGATTTTTTATATTGTTGTTCTACCTCTTAGATAGACAGTTTTTTGTACTAACACTATTCTGTCAATGAAGCCTTTTTCTGTTCATTCCTTACTGTATGCGTCCTAGTCATATTTTTAATACTATACTTCCCTCATCCTTCAAGTACTACATTGTGACCCCTGTAGTATGAATTTCATGTCTCCCAGTTGATATATTGCGGAATTACGGCACAGATCAGTGAAGTTGCTTTTTAAGTTTTCTACTAAATAAAGTAATATGGAAAAAATCTCTTCAATAATGCACGGGATGTAAGTTTAATTTGCATCCTGTGCAAATTCTTATTTCTTATTATAAACTATTATTCTGGGCTTCCTATTCTTTGGTTTAAGCTTTAAAGGCCTGTAGGTGATTCAAAACTACAGGAACAAACTTCTAGGAAACGTTTGGTACATTTAGATGACTCGAAATCCCATAGCAATGCAGGGTCGGAAATGCAATCCTATCAAGATAGGAGGTTGTTTGAGGGTATCGCGGGAAAATCGTCGACAGCTACCTGCAAAGCTATTAGGATGGAAAACATGAATACATTGGGATCGCAAATTGACATTAAGGACAAGCTTAAAAGTCATGACTTTCCTGGAGATGAAATTATCCGAAATATCGTAACGTGGGCTTCGCATAGAATCTTGGGCGTTTTGAAATACGTCGAACATTCGCGATAGCCACGAAAGTACGCCATTTCAAAACGTCCGAGAGTCCTTATGTCATGGTAGGAAATGTCAGAGACCTTTATCACCAGGAAAGTTAAGATTTATTTTTCTTATTCATCAGTCTGCGATCACGATGAATTCCAACATTTTCCCCTACAGCCTCGACCAGCTGGAGGATAAACAAAGATGCAGGAATGATAAGCTAATAATGGCTGCAAAAACTCTATTATTTAGTGATAACTGACAATACGTGTACACTTTTTAGTACAACACATGATATTTATTTATTTTCTTTTGCATTATTATGTTATTTATGATGAAAGGTTAATAAAATATCAGTCTTTTGATGTACATCAAATCCTGTATTAATATTCACTCGTAATTTCTTAAAATTGTTTTTTTAAGAGTGTTTAAAATTTCTTCTTTTACAGATAAATTTTTGTATACAGTAGGCACCGCCGAATGTAATCACGTTTTTCCATGGTTCTTTTAACCATAAACATTAACCGAATGAATGATGATATTAACCAATGAGAAAAAATATCCTCCGAAAGAGCAATATAATTTAATTAATTTAATATAAAAAAAATCAAGAAACATATTAATAGGTATTTTTATAGTATTTTAGTTAGAAAAATGCTAAAGTTTGTGTATGAACTGACCGTAGTATCTGTTCATTTACGAACTGTTTTTAGGGTTTTTGGAAATTATTTGATAGATGACGTAACCTTAATTTGTCTTAGATGTTTTCAGAGATTTTGTTTTTTGAGCAGAATATATTTTGCTCCTAAAGAAGAAAATCTTGTGTCTGATCGCTCTGTCTGATTTAGATGCCTTTACAAGTTACTACCGGAATTTCTTTCTTAAATCAACAGTTTTTGAGAGGGTAAGTGCGTAATGTAACGGATACCCTTGTGCTATACCATTCTACTGAATCTATAACCTTCAGAATGGGTGGAGTTATTCAAAATGCATGCCAATCTAAGGCTGCTTTTTTGCCTACTTTTAAATAGTTAACTGAAATCAAAAGCGCTTGTGTCAACTTTTATGGTATGCCGACGCCTTAGGGCAAATTACAAATTAATTGGTAAAAGCTGCATAGCTAAAGTTGTATACTAGTAAATATCATCATGATTCTAGAAACTAAGCTCCTTGGCGACTAAACTTCTCACTTGGCGATAACTCTGCACCTTAACAATTTTTATAATCTATTTTGACCTTAATTGGCGAATTTATCTATTATCTGGTAACTTTTAATTTAAAAATTTATTCTGTAACAGTTTGATCATATTGTTGCGTGCGTACGGGTTCGTTATGAAATGAATGCACAAGTCCGATGAAAAATGAACAAAAATTTATTATTATCACAACAAAAATGCTTAAATTTTCTCAAATTATCATGCAGTATTACAATATCTCACAGTAGTTATCTTTTAACTACTCAAATGTCCAATAGAACGTAATTCAAAACAGCTAAAGAACGCTAATCCGCGAATTCGCTACAATCAACAAGAGCAGTTTTCTAAACAACAACAAACTAAGCAACTCCTACTACAAACTGAGATGTTTTCCTCCTTTTATAAGATTTTAAAATCACGCGCTAGAATTTTCCAGTACTTTCTCGAAATCAAAAAGAGATATTTATTTATTTATTTAATGCACGCGCTCTTGTATTTTCAATTTTCCGGCTTAGCTTTCTTTTAATATTCGTCACGCGCTGCACTGCGCGAGAAATAAAACCATTTAATTTATAATTGAACTAACATTAGCTTTTTAAATACCAAATTCGTAACACTGCCCCCTTCCCAAGGACTGCACGTCCCGGGCAGTACAATCCCTGGACAGGAAGCTAAACTTACAACTGTGGCATAAATGCAACTGAGGCATAATAAACATTACATTACAATATCAAACAACATAAACAATAAATGCAATAACTAACTTAAACAAATCAAATGCTATCAAATACTAAATACAAAACAAATACTAAATGCAAATCAAATACAAATCAAATCAAATACACATTTAAAAACAAAAAGGACCATGGTCTGATACTATTTACAATTATTTACATTACGTACTATGGCCATAGTAATGAGCTAACCTGTCGTAAGAGTTCGAAGACTCACGGATCCGAACCACGACGTCATTCGTGTTCAGCACTGTATATGGACCATCCGAAGGTGACTGTAATTTAGGACTCAGTCCTTTTCGTTGAATCGGGTTCCACAACCACACCTTGTCTCCTTTGTTGGATCTATGTCTAGTAGCTCTTGTGTCGCATCTGGTCTTTCATTTTCTCCGTCGCCAAGTTGACTCGCTTTCGTGCAGAACGGTGCATCCCCTCAAACCGGGCCTGGGCATCTTGGATGTGTTCCTCAGGCGATGAAGGCGCATCCGTAGGGCGACTAAACAGGCGGTCACAAGGCAGACGAAGGTCTCGACCGAAGAGCTTCTGGGATGGAGAATAGCTGGTAGTCTTGAGTTTCTTTTCGACCCTGGTATGATTTCGGCAGCTTCCCGAGCTCGATCTTTCGGACAAGGCGTCGACATTTCCAGGCGAGGATCCCTTTTGAGGATGGATAGTCATGCCATCAGATGCTGAAAGCAGCTTATTGTTTTTGAAATCTAAGGAAAAATTGTATTTCCTTAAAAAGTCCAATCCGAGTATGCATGGATCTGTAATATCCGCCACATATGCCGTGTGATGGTAGGCGGCACTTCCAAACGTGATGTTTACGTTTAACTTCCCAGTTATGTCGATCTTGTCACCAGACGCAGTCTGAAGGGTAACACAGGATGGCGTCCAAATAAGTTTATCTTTAAACTGTTCAGCTAAATCTTTCCTAATGATGGTAACATTAGCTCCTGTGTCAATGATCATATTGCAAGGAACTCCATCGATATTCCCATTGATGGACAGTCCGTTATTGTTGCCACTCACTATAGAGATCTTAAGCGCTTTAAAACAGGGTTTTTCATTATCTGGCAACCTCCGTTCCTTGATATGGTCATTAATTTGTTTCCTGCGTCGTTGCTCAGAAATTGTCTCAATTTTCGTACCCTGGGGTGTTCTGCAATTCTTTCGTACGTGGCCTTCAGCTCCACAGTTCCAGCACTTTGGTTTCTTGTCAGTCCTTTTCCTTCCCGTGGCATTTAATTGTCTGTTTAAATCGTATGCCTTATTTTCCGTGCTCTGGGGAGTTCTGCAGTTCCTTCGTAGGTGGCCTTCAACACCGCAATTCCAGCACTTTAGGGTCGGTTTTGTTTCACCACTATTCCGTCTTAAAGCATTCACTGGTCTTGTCAACTCATCCGTTTCATTATCCGTGCCCTGGGGTGTTCTGCAATGCCGTCGTAGGTGACCTTCAGAACCACATCTCCAACATCTTACAGCCACTTTGTTCTCACTGCTACTCCGTATCAAAGCATCGACTTGTCTGGATAAATCATCTAAACGAGCCATCAGTTGATTGGTCCACTGGGCTCGTGGACTCGCACAGCTCTGACTGGGTAGCGGTCTCTACGAGTTGCTTGCTGGGCTGCCTCAAATTTCATGGCGTACACTAGAGCGCTTTTTAAATCTTTTACATCCGCCATTCGCAGAGCTTTCTGTATTTCAGGTATCCCGGATGCCATCGATGAAATATTGCAAGGACAGGATTTCCCTTGTTTCTGTCGGGCACTCCGAAAAGGCGAGGATGGGACAGCCTTTCAACATCCGTGGCGAGCTCCTGAAGTGTTTCGGTAGGCTTCTGTTGACGGAGATTTTAATTGGAGCCTGCTGTAGTCTTTTAAACACTTCTCCCCCAAAGCGCAGCTCCAAGGCGCCGGACAGAGCTTCGAAATCTAACCTTTTGTTTTCGGGAAGAGTCTGAAGGATATCCGCTGCGTCGGCTCTTAGAGAAGCGGCGAGATGACAGGCCTTAGCTTGGGAATCCCATCCATTCGCATCCGCCACGATAGAAAATTGTGTCTTATACACCTGCCAGGAGGTCTTCCCATCATATGTGGATAGCTTCAGAGGTGGACGAGCAGGCATTGGTAAGAATTTAAAATCATCACTCCTGCTCCCTGCCGACGCTACGAATTTCTTTAAAGTATCCATTTCTTTGGCAACTGCAGAAACTCTCTCATCAATTTGTTGTTCTTTACGGAAAAAGAGAAACTCTTTCTTCTATTTCTTCTTTCACCGAAGAAACTCTTTCTTCAATATGTCCAACTTTATTTTCAACTGCGTCAATTCTGCCTTCCATAGCTTCAAATTTATTTTCTATTATGCAAGTAATTTCTCTTTTCATTTCTTCTTGACCAGCTTGAACGGCTTTCATTTCGTCCTTAACGGATTCCTGGCCCAATTTCATTTCTTCCTTAACAGATTCCTGGCCCAATTTCATTTCTTCCTTAAATGATGCTTGGCCAGCTTCCATCTTTTCTTGGAATGCAGCAAAAGCACTAATGAGCTGCCTCAATTGTTCTTCCATCGCTCTTGTTATTGGCATTCAAACCCCACTTCTGACACCAAAAATTGTTGCGTGCGTACGGGTTCGTTATGAAATGAATGCACAAGTCCGATGAAAAATGAACAAAAATTTATTATTATCACAACAAAAATGCTTAAATTTTCTCAAATTATCATGCAGTATTACAATATCTCACAGTAGTTTTCTTTTAACTACTCAAATGTCCAATAGAACGTAATTCAAAACAGCTAAAGAACGCTAATCCGCGAATTCGCTACAATCAACAACAGTAGTTTTCTAAACAACAACAAACTAAGCAACTACTACTACAAACTGAGATGTTTTCCTCCTTTTATAAGATTTTAAAATCACGCGCTAGAATTTTCCAGTACTTTCTCGAAATCAAAAAGAGATATTTATTTATTTAACGCACGCGCTCTTGTATTTTTAATTTTTCCGGCTTAGCTTTCTTTTAATATTCGTCACGCGCTGCACTGCGCGAGAAATAAAACCATTTAATTTATAATTGAACTAACATTAGCTTTTTAAATACCAAATTCGTAACAATATTAACCGAGTTATCGATGACATTACAGCAGCACAAGATCCATCCATACCTTGATCGTCTAACAGGCCACGACAAGGTATTTATAGCCTCTCGCGCGAAGGCGATCCCGGGAGGTCGAAACAGATTTGACAGTACCCTAAAGAGCCATTCACACTGGGATTTATCTGAGCTAATGCAGTCAACTCCATGTATCGACTAGCTCCACTGTACGTGAAGTTCAGATATTTCAGCTCACTCCGCTGTGAGGAAAACCTGGTTTCGGAGCTGCGTCGTCTATTGATAGATGTCTTCGTTAGCTCAGATAAGCCCAAGTGTGAACGGCCCTTTACAGAACTTATCGAGCCTGAGCAGATCATCATTTAGACAATGATTCTAATCACTGTGAGGGAAGCTAATTTCCACCATACTGGCCACTTCCAATATATGTGCCAGCTCGGGGGACGTCGGACTGGATTAACCACGAAAAGGGAATAAGCTCACTCTTTCGTTGCCGCCCTTCCTCCGCATCGACGGAGGACCCATGGAGTGGAATTACTGAAATCAATAAGCGACGTGTTTTCCATGTTTTCGTGTGCAAAAAGCTGGACAGTCACAAATTTAAAACAATAGCCGAAATATAACTATAATAAATTAAAAGTTACTTGTGAGGTTTATTTAATTTATTCAACCAGTTATTTTATAATTAAGACAAAATAATACGCCACGCCGAACAAATACTAATTCAGAAGTCAAACAACAAAAATCAGCATTATATTTTCAAATTTTCACAGGACTAGTTTCGATGGTTTTACCGAACCACCATCGTCAGCTGCAAAAGCGCAAAATTTTTGTTGTTTGACTTCTGAATCAGTTATTTTATGTTTGGAAACTTTACCATCACTTCTCTCTTTCCGTTTTCCCGCTAGAATGCAAATTAGTTTGCGTGCATGCATGTAAGTGAGGGTTTGTGTTTTTTAGGATATATGTTTTCCTTCCTTACTCTATTACTTTATTTCCTTATATGTTTAACAAAGGACAAGTGGGTCCCGTTGATGAGGGTAATCAAATTTCCTGCTGGGCACGGTTAATCAATGTTTATGCTTTGTAGAGCTGGCAGAAACTAACCACGTAGCGCGCAAATGCCAGAATACATTCTCTCTCAAGATGAAGAAAACCTTACCTTAAATACACAGAACTATTTTGCATTCTGGTGAGGAATACAGAAAGGATAAGTTATATTAAAGACCAAAATCATAACAACAGGTTAATTTAAAATGAAAACCTAACACATTCATAGAATATAATAACATATATTTATTCATAATAACAAGGTTAAACTTAAGACATTCATTCCATTTGAGAAGGTTTTGCAGCATTCTGATAATATTTATGCACATTTAAAATTTAAAATGAAACATGCCCTATCAGTGTATCAACCATGATACAGCGAGCAACCAGTAATACTTAGTTCTCGCACTCCTTTTGATATGATGGGCCCATGGAGGGAAACTGAAGTATATCTATTACTTATACGATACACTAGAAGCGAAGACATTAAAAACTTAATAATGTAACTATAAAATATAACTATAATTTAATATTTTGTATTTAGAAATATTTGATTATATTTAAAAACTAGGAAAAAAATGCAACAGCAGAATGATTTACTTCATGGTGATATTTCTTTGCGAGATCCTGTGGCTCCCTTGACAATCTGCTATTGAAATAAGGATTTCTCGTAAACCATGGATGCACTAAAACTTCCTCGGCATGAAGGCGCTTGAACTGGTCCGGTTGCAGCAAACTGTCTAACAAGTGCCAGCATTCTAATAGATGGTAAGAAGGGTGAAAGTATTAATTAGCATTAAAAAACCATCTTTGAAGATTATTCTGTTATTGAAAGGTTAACAGTAGCAAATTAAACAATAATATTTCACTGTATGTTATCATTGTCGCTTGATTGTGAGGTTTCAAAACAATTCTTTTTGACCAAAAAGAAGAAAATGGACCACAGGCAAACCGAAGTATGCTATTGATGAGAAAATGAGAGATTATAAGGGTCAGAATTCATCAAGCTATCCTATATACAGAGTTAGAAGAATGACGTAAAAGCAGTTATACAGAGACTGTCCGCGCATTTTTTAGACAACTTTGCCTTTTTATAAAAAAAAAATTCGTTTGCATGGAAAAAGTTTTCTAACTATATATAAAATATATTTTTTAAAGTGTAAATTATCGTCTGCTATTCGACAATTTTGTTGTCATGCAAAATGGTACTTTTAAAGAAGCAATGTACGGAAGGCTATGTTTGTGCTCTTTCTGAAGAAAATTATTCATACTCAGTTATTAAAAAATGCTGTGAAAGCCGTGATTTTTCGATATCTAAAGCAACGATAGATAATATTGTCTATAAGAAAGGAGAAAAATGTCAAAGTTTTGCTTCAAGGAGAAAAATTGTTCAAAATACATATCCAAGGAAGAAACGGAATGTTGCAAAGGTAAGAACTTTAATGTTAAAAGAAAATCTTCGAAGTCAAAGAACAGTTGCAAAATCATTAAAATGTCCAGTGTCGACTGTAAATAAAGTGATTAATGCTGGTTTGAATCTTAAAAAGGTGGAAGAAAACATAATGCGCACCGTCTTTCTCCGCGATATATCGCCGAAAGCAGAACGCGCTGCAGAATTCCCTATGAGAAACAATTATTCGGACAAAAATGGAAAAATGTTGACACAATAGATGAATCTTGGATATGTTTAAATAAATGACCTCAATAAAAAGACATCCATTTATCATCATCAAAGAGAAGCAAAAAATCTTAAAACATAGTTCAAAGAATCTATAGAAAGTTTTTCAAAGTGATTAATGATTGTTGCTGTCTTTTGATATAACGACAAATTAAAAATAAAGAGAGTGGAGAAAAATGTTAAGATCAACTCCACATATTATCGAAAACATATTTTATACCCAATTTTGAAATATGAAGTTCCTTCTCTTTACACACAGTGTGATCAACCAGTAGAACTGAACACAAAGCAAGTAGAGACACGTCAAAATCTACTACAGTCAAAAGTCTTTAATCCGGACTCGTCGGGACTCCGGTTCGATTTTTCCGGATTATAGATCATCAGTTTAAATCTTTTATAAGATGGCATGCAGAAATTATGAAGTTGAAAATATGAAACCATAATTTAGAAAATAATGAGCAATTATGATCTAAAGGGTATCAAAATTTACAAAAAAAAGAAGCTTAATATTTATTTGTTTACTTTATTAAACATTTCCTTCAACGCGCGCATGCGTACCTTACGTAGCCGAAATTAGAAAATTGCAACCAGAAAACTATTTGATTTGTATTCGTGATATTTATAATGACGAGGAATTTGATTTAAATCATATCAAAGACGGAGTACATCGAGATTAAATACTACATTTAGTAAGGAATTATAAGCCGAATAAAATAAAAACATCTGCCTTGAAGATAACGATAGTGCTGACAGATCAACTTCCAGTTCATTTCGCGCCGCGACATCTATGTCGTCCGTTAAGCAAAAGCTGTGATTTGGTGACGTTGATACAGGTTCTCCAGGTACGACACCATTTCTCAATTTCTCGCATGTGGCCAATTAACACATAACTAAAATAGTTTTTTTTTTCCTGTATTTGTTGTTATTTTCATGGCAACTATTTACCATTCTGATATTTTTCATAGTTTAGTTTACTCTTGTCGGCACAATAAAAGTAAGTATATAATCATAAATGAGATTTTTTTTTAATGTAATTTATCAATCATGTCGTAAAACTAAAGTCATCTAACAACAAAATAATAGCGATGCCTACAAATTAAATCCCATTTCTTTCTGAATATTATTACGAAATGCCCATGTGTGGTAAGATAGTTTCCCCGCAAAGCAGGGTTAGGGTTACCAGTAAAGTGGCAGGGTTGCCAGATTTGGCACGAAATCGCCAGTTTGGCGGCCCTAGACAGAGCGAAAACATTTTAGAACGCATTCTAAGTGGGTTTCCTCGGGAATGTTCTCGAAGGCAGGTTAAAAGCTAGATGTACCCAGCCTGTACTTGAGTAGAGTAGTTGAGAGTATGTTGAGTTCAGTAATAGTGTTTTGAATTTAGAGATTAGCTTGAGAGTGACTGAAGTGAATCGGCAGCTGTAATTTAGTGCTTTGCGGTGAAACTGTCTTCAAATTTGTAGCCTGCAGGCTGCGTTCCTGATTGTTCCAGAGTGTTTATCATAGTTTTTCGATGACTGTGAACGTGTCTTTTTAACTCTCCTGTGTAATACCGACGAATAAATTGTGTTTTGATTCTTCATCAAGTGTTGTTGTCAATTATTCCAAACCCACGAAAGCAACAATATAATACACATATAAACAAATAAATAATGGGGGTGTAAAGTGATGATTGGTTGATTGGCTAGATAACTGTTGAAGATGAGCTTTTTATCTGCATCGTAATTACTTGCAGAGGCTTTAATGCATAGATACAAGGCTGACATTCACAGACAGATGTGGCCGAATCAAGGGTAATTTTATTGCTGGCTAAAGTTCTTCCTGAGACACAATATTAATTCACATATTTTTATTATGGATGAGATATGCACACATAACCTATACATCTTGCATCTCTTTTTTAGACAAAAGACGATGGCGTGGCAGGAAACTATACTGGGCTAGTAGAAGCTAGACGAACCTGAGAAAAGGGTTGCGCAATAGTAGCGGTGGTATTTATAGTAAAAATTTCCTTTAAACCGATTGGACAAGAGCTGTCACACTGCAGCATGATTTCATAAACAAGAAACAGAATAGTTTTCAGATGACGCACTTAGTAGAGTTCAGGAAGGGAACGTAGGCAAATTAAAATCAAGAATTAAAAGGGTAAATTATAGTTCCCAATTTTTAACTTTATATTTTTTATCTTACATAAACATTTATATACAGTGATTGAAAATGAAATCCCAACACGAAATGGAAAATTAGTTTCGAGGAATGAAAATAGACAAGGTCTAGGTAACATACTTATTTGATTAATATTTCAAGGTCACACAGTATATGCAAATACAAGGGCTTCAAATGTGAAATGGTGGTACATTAACAACCACTGTAGTTGCCACAATGTAGAATGCAAGCATACAAACGTGCATGCATTGTGCTGTACAGGCGTCATATGACATTTTGTGGGATGACGTTCCGTGACTGTCGCACTCACAGTCAACTCAGCAACGGTTCATTCTCGTTGTGGATGATGCTGGATTTATCGTCCAATCATGTCACATACATGTACGATGAGTGAAAGATCGATTGATCTCGCAGGGCAAGGCAACATGTCAAAACTCTGAAGAGCATGCTGGGTGATAGCAGCAGCATGGGGACGATCGTTATCCTGTTGGAAAAATCCACCTGGATTATTGCGCACGAATGGGAGCACGGCCAGTGATGTCATGAGTCTGATGTACAAGTTTACTGTCAAGGTATGTGGGATAATGACGAGAGTGCTCCTGCTGTTACAGGAAAATACTCCTAGTATATGTCCAAAGTGTCTACAACCGTAGACACCTCGATTCCAAACGCTTAACTGGTCGCCTTTTAAACAGCACACCACCGTCACCGACACCAAGACAGAAACAACTTTCAACTGAGGACACAAAAGATGTCAAATGCGCTCTCTGATGAGTTCCAGCTTGACACCACCGAAGTCGCAGATGACAGCAATTTGGAGTTAAAGCATATTAGCGCTACAGGGCATCTGGGATGGCGCTTTCTTTCAGATAATCGATTGTTACAGTTTGTTGTGCCATTCTGGCTCCTTAGTTGTTTCTTTGGCATGTGGAATGATATTACGGACGTTTTTTTAAAAAAATTTTAATTTTTTTAACTTTTCTCTAATTTGGGGGTATTTTATCACCATTTATTTTCATTTTGATTAATTTTGTTTGTTAATATAAGTTTTTTAAAGTTCAATTTTTTTATTAAAATTTAAGCTGCCCCAGCCCCTTCCCCCCTTTTTTCAAAACTAAAGGTTTTTATTAGAATTTTTAACTTTTTTTTTTTTTCCTTTTTTCTTTTTTGAGTCTGGAGCCATTCTACACGATTTTTACATCACTTATATTTTGTACATTATCAGTCATTTATTGTCATTTCAATTTATTGTATCTTATTGAGTATAGAGTGGGCCAGACCTCCCTTTTTTTTAAGGCTAATCCTGGAATTTTGATTGTTTTTCTTAACATTTTAGGTATCACATTCTGCACTGGGGCGCACTCATTTTTCTATCGTACTTTGATTGTATATTACAGTCAAAAGTCGTTAATTCGGACACCCATAATCCGGACCTCAAAGCTAAAAGCTTTCTGCGCATGCGTCGTGTTGACCTTTACCGCTACGAATTTGCATGTGCGCGTGCGCAAAATACGTTTACGAATGCGCGTTTAATGTATAACGGGCGGGATAAGCTAAGCTAAAATTATCTAATTATCTATTTCAGTTAATGTTGCAGATTGCGTTGTTCCTTAATCTTCGAATTGGATCCGGATTATTATTTTTTGAAGACTGTTAGAGCAATTTTATAAAAGTAAGCTTGAACTTTTGATTATGTCAAATAGAATTTCCAATATATATTTACTAATATGTAAAGGATATACAAAGCGAAAGTATCTTTTCGGAGTCCATTAACACAAAAGTGGAATTGCTGCAAAAATGGATAAAGGCATATGCTTTGTTTATCTAAACTTTAACGTCTTTTTATCTAAACTTTAACGTTGTTTATGTAAACTTTGTTTCTTTAACGCTGTGGGGGGCCTGCAATGAATTGGAAGTTGATCTGTCAGCACTATCCTTATCTTAAGGGCAGATGTTTTTATTTTATTTGATTATAATTGCTTACTCAATGTAGTATTTCATGTCTAATGTACCAGTCTTTGATATGATTTAAATCAAATTCCTCCTCATTATAATTCGCTTCCGATAGGAAGAAGTGACAGAGGTTATTGAAAACGAAAAATTTCGATTGACAAATTAGTCGGTATTCTCGACACAGCAATTATAGGACTTGAACAGGCGGAACTCTGTAACTGAACAAGAAATTATGTCCTGTTATAGAATTAAAGAGAATGTATTATCACATAAAAAACGAAGCAACTTAAACACTTACATTGAAAGAAATGTTTAAAAAGTAAACAAATATTAAGCTTTTTTTTTTGTAAATTTTGATACCCTTTACATCATAATTGTTCTTTATTTCGTAAAATACAGTTTCTTTTTAATTTTATATTTCTGCATGCCATTTTACCAGATTTAAACTGATGATCTATAATCCGGAATCGCCGAAGTCCCGACGAGTCCGGATTAACGACTTTTGACTGTATATTTTCCACTGGACACGGGCATCTTGACTGTTATTTTCACACGTGTTCAAACGGGATTCAGGCCCCGTGGATTTTCACGTAAGGTCGCCCGTCTGGGTCTCATTTTGGATATTGCACTACCTATTGACATTGTTACATTTTTATCTTATCATAAGATGCCGACGCTATTCTTTTGAATTGTCTTTTACTATATTGTATATCTTGTATTCTAACCTGGAGTTTACTAATTATTTAACTATTCGCATTATATAACGCATGCTTTTGTAATGATCCTCTTTCACCGGTGGGACACGTCGGTTTCCTGGTCTCTTTTATATACGTTTTGTATTGTTATTCTTTTTTTTTTTTTTTTTTTTTTTTTGTACGGCGGCTATCAAAATTTGTTGTGGTTTGACTGTGTCTACTACTCACTTTTATCTTACCACATGCCTGCATACATGCTTTACTGTCTGTAACGCACGCACTTAGTGCTCCTATGTCCTTTGTAACCTTTCTTGTACTCCTCTGATGCCGACTGATTCTGTCCTCCTGTCCTCTGGCTGTGGCTAGCGGATGGTAGAGGTAATTAATTTGGAGGGGGTGGACTTAACTCTGTTTGGTAGCACTTAAGCTCACCTTAGGTCGGAGACTACCCCTCTTCGATAGAGATATCATTATGGCTCCAACAAAAGATAGAATGTCTGCTGCTGATGTATAGGGTGCGGCAGCGTTCATAGCGTAATTTGACTTGCGTAGCACAATGACGTGCTTCATGAATGCGCTCCAGCTCGTGCCGCATTCGTATACTAATGAACTGCCATTTCGAGTGTCATAGTGATATGAATCGCTGGAGTTCACGGCACCGTACCTTTGCTGTTGAAAGTTATTTCAAGAATAACTACTCTGTTATTGCTACCCAGCATCTATTTCGGCAACATTTCAACTTGGGACGTTATGGGAAAGTTCCAGATGGCGGACCAGTGCGACAGACATTTCAGGTAGAGTAATTTCCCGTTTGGTGACATTCCTGTCCGCCCGCTCACCGATATTTCATGTGCCGCCTTTGGGGCCCCTGAGCAAGAGTTTTCCGAACACGGCCACGGCCGTGCCCATTCTGAGGGAAGGATCGCACCGAACTCGTCGGCATGTCCCAGAATACGGTACAGCTCCAAACGCACCTAGATGAATGTTTGTCAAGGGGGGCACCATATCAAAAAGTAATCCACGCAATGGACAATGACTTACACATTAGTAAATGGCATACCTTTAACTATTAATTTTCATAAGAGGTAATAAATAAATTACAGTTACTGCCTTATGGTGTGCTTTTAATATTCTACTATAAACACTACCGCACCCTATAGTACCACGTGTGGAATACGGCTGTCATTGCTTTGAGTGGTGGCATGTGTGCCTCGGAATGCAGCCTTCTCGAGACAGTACCTTCCACGACCACCGGTGCCAACTTGCATGTACAGTGCAGAAATCTCTACTAAATCCTTCTGCAATGAGGAGGAAGGAAAAATCCACCTTCTCGTAACCTACAAAGGTCCTCTTTCAAATTCACAAAGCTTCTGATAACGCCTTCTTCGTCTCCTTAAGGGCCGTTACCACTGGGGTTTGTCTGAGCTAACGAACACAACTAACGTAGTCGACCCACCTCCAAAACCAGTTTTCCCCCATAGGGCAGCAAGTTGAAAAATCTTAAATGCGGGCACTGCGGAGGTGGTCGACACATAGAACTGACTCCATTAGCTCAGATAAAACCCAGTGAGAACGGTGCTTTACAGACATGCTTGACCCAAATCTCGTTCACAACGTCCACTTCGGAAGATGAATAAAGCACACGAAGTTTATATTCCGTAATTAAAGCAAACGTGTTTTGCATGTTTATAGTGGCTCTAATAGAGCAACACTTACTCGTCTAGCACGAAATCTTAACAGACATTTTAGATATTAATTTAATTTTAGAAAACCCCCGCCCAAAATTCGCTTATTTAGCACAGTGATTGCCAACGATTTTCTTGCATTTAATTTTACTGTGGCCAATATCAAACGCTGTTCCATATATTTTCCCGCAGAAACTTATTCGTTGCATGCTGTCTTATAAACCAAATGATCCTAATCTTATTGCATGTGGCAACGCAAATTATTGCTAACTACATCGCCTCCAAACAGAGCAGTCTATATGAAATACATGTAGACAAAAATTCTCTTTTTTTAAAGTTGTTCAACTATACAAGTTATAACTAAACTAGACAGTTGTAAGTTGTATACAATGTGATTAAGGGTAAATACACACAGAGCAAAATTTTTTTCTAAGTTGTTGAAATATACAAGTTGTAAGAATATTCTACTAAATACCAAAGATACAGGAACAAGTTATGTTATGTAGAGTCCTTTTATAGCCTGACCAAAATATTGTCAGCCTTTTGTCTTTAGTCATTCCAACTTTTTCATAATGCCTTTTATGATATGTTGCAGTCTTTTTTATTATTTTTAAACTGTATAATTATCTCTATATGATTCCATAAAATAAATTTATCTTACCAGTGGATAATAATTCCATTTGCTCCCAGTTTTCTTGAGTTAATCCTTTGTTTATCCTTCTGATAAATAACTCCTTTTTACGTGAAGGTGGCTCAGAATCCAAAGCACCTTTAGGTATGGCAAAAGGCATTTTACCAATAACCATCGAATATAGGATGACTCCTCTAAAATCATCACATAAAAATATAGTCAGATTAGACAAAGAGACACAACACAAAAATGTTCATTGTATTGCACAATCTGCTAAATTGATTATCTAAATTCACTTAGGTCTCACTTTGGAAGAATGTTTTAAGTTGAAATTCTGAATCTTAATCGATAATTTTAAAGGAACACAAAGCAAAGGTAAATGATACTCTGTGTTTTGTATTATTAACGTACACTGCGGAAAAAAAAAGGGGGATCTCCCGTTCTACTGGGCCGATTGACGAAATTCAACTTGCATTTTTCATGTCTCGAAAGCGCAACTTATTATAGCGATATGTATTAGATTTGTATATAGCATTGTTCTAATATAAGTATTTTGACACAAAATCGCATTTTTTCTGAAATAAAATACCAAGTTTTCTACACATTTCGATTCTACGACTCAAATTACACCACACTATCAAGTTTTGTAAAAATCGCAGAAGTAGTTTTTAAAAAATTAGCTCTCAAAATTTTAACTCCTGGAAGTTAATTGGGTTTGATATATATTTATTAATCTCTCTTTTTTTTTTATTAAACTTATTTGTTTCTTCCTTTCACATTTCGAAATTCAGGTTCATTCCAAATAAAATTCGCTTATTTTTTATGATTAATTTAATTTGTATTTTAAAATAATTTTTATAAATTTTCTAAAAAATGTGTTATAATCTATAAAATTTTTACCATCATCTTAAAGTAGACGTATTTCTAAGCATACCTGCAAAAAATTACAGTTTTTTTATTCAAAATTTCCGAATATATACGTGAATTTATATATTGGCGCGTTTTAAAATTTGGCACATTTGTTGAAAGCGATAAAACATCAAATGTGAGTTAGACACTTTTCTAAAATTATTTGAAAGTGGAAACGATGGGACTTTTTTCCCGCTCAAGCACAATGCAAAAAGGTAGGAATGAGGTGTGTTTTTTCCTCTCTGTCATAGTAAAAGGGAAAGGAAAATTGGTTGCCACATATTAAGAAGTTCGCCAATATTAAGAAATTTCGCCATTCTTGGCGAAAACTGAAAAAAATTATGCCAAGATAAATTTTTGAATTTCTCCGTAAATTTCGCGCCAAATTTTACAAAATGTAATATCTAGGCATAATTTGAGCCGTAGAATCAAAATATGGAAAAAAAAAATGATATATTTTTAGGAGAAAGTCAGATTTTGTGTCAAAATACCTATGTTAGAACAATACTATATATAAATGCAATATATATCCTAAGTCGCGCTTTCGAGACATGAAAAACGCAATTTCAATTTTGTCAATCGGTCCAGTAAAACGAGAGATATAAAACTGCCCCCCCCTTTTTTTTCGCAGTGTACGTCAACAATAGCTCATCTATCCAAGTTTTGTTTGATGAAAACATCAACTTCATACGTATTCACTACCCGTTTTAAGTGGGACAAATAGAGAGCTTGTACGCCGATCGGCGGGAAATCAAAATAAGTTCTATTTTATTCTTCCTTTGCTCATTTCAAAACAGTAAAGGTGAAAAAATGAGAAATTAAAGAGACATTCTTTAGAAAGCATCTCAGATGATCACAACATTGTGATATTTATTGATTCACAGGCCACTATTAAAAGCGGTTTCTTCAGTCATATTTTCAAACAATGGTTCTGTTCCAAATTGTCGGCCTTTGATAAATACTGTAATAAATAACGGTCGCAGTGTTACTCTGCAGGGGATCCCAAGTCATTGTGCAATCGTGGGTAATAATGTTGAATGCAAACTGGACATGAATATGCCTCATGAAACATCGACATAAATTTTTTTTAGCAAACTCTCCATCTTTCCCATTATGTGATATTGACGAGATGTGCAAAGGCCATTGGACATTCGTTCTGGACTTAAAGACATGGCAACGGCTAATGCTGTCAGAAACTACTGTATTGCCATTCTTTTTTTAAATGTGTCTGAATTATATTGGGATACCTATTTGACTAATGGCGGTCATGCCTAGATCTGGCTAGGTTTTTAAAAAACGCAGCGTAATGAATTCACAAACCATCGTCAAATGAATTTCTGTTTCTTATCTCCCAATTTAGAATTTATGATATAAGTAGCCTGATTATAATTCTATCAGGCTAAAATAAAATTGACAATTGTCATATCGAACATACCTCATTAAAAGGAAACCGTTTCCTTGTATAAAAATGCTGAATTAAATGCAATTATACCCAATTAGGTAGAATTTCAAGGTCTGATCTAGATCCTCGATACGTAGATTTATTTGATTGATAAAACAATAGTAATAACATGCAAATATTCGTATTTTTCCTTAAAATAGATATAAAAGATAAAATAGGTAACTATGAGATAAAAGTATGGTGTAATAACTTTTTCTAATACGAATGCATGAGAATTTTAGCGTTCTGAGTTTTAAATACAATATTATATTTATAAACAATGAATTCCAAAACATTTATCACTCTAAATCATTTATTTACGAAGAAACTCTCTAATTTCCATAATTAATTCTAATTTCTGTGCTTCAAAATTCCCTTTTTATTAGTCCAAAAGGGCAAATTGCTCAGATGGGCTATTAATTTAATTTTGGCATTTTGCGTCGTCAACTATAAACGGCGTTTTAATTTTTAAACTGTTGCCAGCAAATATTAGAGCACTGCACTATATTTAAATAAATTAAATAATGAAGAATCTGCATGAATGTATGTATGTTTCTCCCATTACGGGGGGGGGAACGGTAGCTAGAAATATCAGATTTTGAATAACGTAATCCTCCACTCCAATATGGGCATTTGGAATTAGTTTTATTGCACATTTTATATAACTTTGATGAATTTTTGATTAACAAACTCAACCAAAATTTTCAAAGCGATGAATGGCAACACTGTACGAAAAAAAAATTATCGCCAGCGCGCGAGACTGTATATTGGAAATTCTAAAGATATATACTCTAAATATTTTGCGATATTGCTGTTGTATTGAATTTTATGGTTTAAGTGCGAAGAACATGATATTTAATAAATAAAGGTAACACACAAAACCCTAAAAAACGCCCCTTTGGGCTTAATATAAAACCTGAAAGTTTTCAGATTTTTTTTTCTTTTTGTTATTTTGTATACCTATTTTGTTCAAACAGTTTACGCATTGATGTTATTTTTACCACCTGACAATACTAGCACCATACCAGACAATGAAATGCACAACTGTTGTGTTCTTTGTCTTCAGCCAAGTTTATTTTTGTGAAATGTGTATAATGTGAATTATGATTTTCTTACAAAGCTTTTTTTTTTTTTTTTTTTTTTTTTTTTTTTTTACCGCGTAGTGCATATGAAGAGCGATGCATTGATGGAGTAACGAGTTATCGTCTTGGTAACTAATTTAAGTACAATGAAGATAAAATTTGTAAAATGTTAGAACTTGTGTATGAAGAGTTGTGTATGTGATACACAACTTGTGTATGTGGTACATCGGAGAGCATCATTCAAGTGTGTTTTCAAGAAGAAAAGAATACATAATTTATGACGTAACAGCAGGACGGCATTCAGCTGCTCTCGTCAAAAAAAATATCGTTGGAATGTTGCGTGCAACGAGACAGACCAACTAACTTTTGGAATGATCGCTGAAGAGTTAAATTTAGAACATCCATCGTTCTCGCGATTTTATTCAGGAAACTGATAACGAAAAACTGTGTGTTATAAGTGTCCTATAATGTTTGACTTTCAAAGTAATCAAAAATTGAAAAAGAAATGCCTGTGTTGACTGCTCGAAACCAAGATTTGCTGGATAGGTTAACTAGGGGCGATTCGTTTGGGTTTACAAATACGATTTGACATTGAAGGTGTAGAACAAAGGAATGGAAGATAAAAGAAGAACTGTGAAAGAAAGAATACCAAAGAAACACATTCAAACTGAAAGTAATGGTCAAAATTAGAACTGTGGAGGAAAGTATCTCGAAGAAACAGATCCAAAATGAAAGTAATGGTCAAAAAGAGAACTGTAGAAGAAACAATCTCGAAGAAACAGATCTGAAATTAAAGTAATGGTCAAAAGGAGAACTGTAGAAGAAAGAACATGGAAGAAACACATCCAAACTGAAAGTAATCGTCAAAAGGAGAACTGTGGAAGAAAGAATCTCGAAGAAACAGATCTGAAATTAAAGTAATGGTCAAAAGGAGAACTGTGGAAGAAAGAACATCTAAGAAACACATCCAAACTGAAAGTAATCGTCAAAAGGAGAACTGTTAAAGAAAGAATCTCGAAAAAACAGATCTGAAATTAAAGTAATGGTCAAAAGGAGAACTGTGGAAGAAAGAACATCTAAGAAACACATCCAAACTGAAAGTAATCGTCAAAAGGAGAACTGTGGAGGAAAGAATCTCGAAGAAATAGATCTGAAATTAAAGTAATGGTCAAAAGGAGAACTGTGGAAGAAAGAACATCTAAAAAACACATCCAAACTGAAAGTAATCGTCAAAAGGAGAACTGTGGAAGAAAGAATCTCGAAGAAATAGATCTGAAATTAAAGTAATGGTCAAAAGGAGAACTGTAGAAGAAAGAACATCGAAGAAACACATCCAAACTGAGAGTAATGGTCAAAGGAGAACTGTGGAAGAAAGAATCTCGAAGAAATAGATCTGAAATTAAAGTAATGGTCAAAAGGAGAACTGTGGAAGAAAGAATATCTAAGAAACACATCCAAATTGAAAGTAATAGTCAAAATTAGAACTGTGGAGGAAAGAATCTCAAAGAAATAGATCTGAAATTAAAGTAATGGTCAAAAGGAGAATGTGGAAGAAAGAACATCTAAGAAACACATCCAAACTGAAAGTAATCGTCAAAAGGAGAACTGTGGAAGAAAGAATCTCGAAGAAATAGATCTGAAATTAATGGTTAAAAGGAGAACTGTGGAAGAAAGAATGTCTAAGAAACACATCCAAATTGAAAGTAATGGTCAAAATTAGAACTGTAGAGGAAAGAATCTCAAAAAAATAGATCTGAAATTAAAGTAAGGGTCAAAATGTGAACTGTGGAAGAAAGAATCTCAAAGAAATAGATCTGAAATTAAAGTAATGGTCAAAAGGAGAACTGTGGAAGAAAGAACATCGAAGAAACACATCCAAACTGAGAGTAATGGTCAAAGGAGAACTGTGGAAGAAAGAATCTCGAAGAAATAGATCTGAAATTAAAGTAATGGTCAAAAGGAGAACTGTGGAAGAAAGAATATCTAAGAAACACATCCAAATTGAAAGTAATGGTCAAAAGGAGAACTGTGGAAGAAAGAATCTCGAAGAAATAGATCTGAAATTAAAGTAATGGTCAAAAGGAGAACTGTAGAAGAAAGAACATCGAAGAAACACATCCAAACTGAGAGTAATGGTCAAAGGAGAACTGTGGAAGAAAGAATCTCGAAGAAATAGATCTGAAATTAAAGTAATGGTCAAAATGTGAACTGTGGAAGAAAGAATCTCAAAGAAATAGATCTGAAATTAAAGTAATGGTCAAAAGGAGAACTGTGGAAGAAAGAACATCGAAGAAACACATCCAAACTGAGAGTAATGGTCAAAGGAGAACTGTGGAAGAAAGAATCTCGAAGAAATAGATCTGAAATTAAAGTAATGGTCAAAAGGAGAACTGTGGAAGAAAGAATATCTAAGAAACACATCCAATTTGAAAGTAACGGTCAAAATTAGAACTGTGGAGGAAAGAATCTCAAAGAAATAGATCTGAAATTAAAGTAATGGTCAAAAGGAGAACTTTGGAAGAAAGAACATCTAAGAAACACATCCAAACTGAAAGTAATCGTCAAAAGGAGAACTGTGGAAGAAAGAATCTCGAAGAAATAGATCTGAAATTAAAGTAATGGTCAAACGGAGAACTGTGGAAGAAAGAATATCTAAGAAACACATCCAATTTGAAAGTAACGGTCAAAATTAGAACTGTGGAGGAAAGAATCTCAAAGAAATAGATCTGAAATTAAAGTAATGGTCAAAAGGAGAACTGTGGAAGAAAGAATATCTAAGAAACACATCCAAATTGAAAGTAATAGTCAAAATTAGAACTGTGGAGGAAAGAATCTCAAAGAAATAGATCTGAAATTAAAGTAATGGTCAAAAGGAGAATGTGGAAGAAAGAACATCTAAGAAACACATCCAAACTGAAAAGTAATCGTCAAAAGGAGAACTGTGGAAGAAAGAATCTCGAAGAAATAGATCTGAAATTAATGGTTAAAAGGAGAACTGTGGAAGAAAGAATGTCTAAGAAACACATCCAAATTGAAAGTAATGGTCAAAATTAGAACTGTAGAGGAAAGAATCTAAAAAAAATAGATCTGAAATTAAAGTAAGGGTCAAAATGTAAGAACTGTGAAAGAAAGAATACCAAAGAAACACATTCAAACTGAAAGTAATGGTCAAAATTAGAACTGTGGAGGAAAGTATCTCGAAGAAACAGATCCAAAATGAAAGTAATGGTCAAAAAGAGAACTGTAGAAGAAACAATCTCGAAGAAACAGATCTGAAATTAAAGTAATGGTCAAAAGGAGAACTGTAGAAGAAAGAACATGGAAGAAACACATCCAAACTGAAAGTAATCGTCAAAAGGAGAACTGTGGAAGAAAGAATCTCGAAGAAACAGATCTGAAATTAAAGTAATGGTCAAAAGGAGAACTGTGGAAGAAAGAACATCTAAGAAACACATCCAAACTGAAAGTAATCGTCAAAAGGAGAACTGTGGAAGAAAGAATCTCGAAGAAATAGATCTGAAATTAAAGTAATGGTCAAAAGGAGAACTGTGGAAGAAAGAATATGTAAGAAACACATCCAAATTGAAAGTAATGATCAAAAGGAGAACTGTGGAAGAAAGAATCTCGAAGAAACACATCCGAAATGAAAGTCATGGTCAAAAATAGAACTGTTGAAGAAATAATCTTAAAGAAATAGACCTAAAATTAAAGTCATGGTCACTGTTTATTTCGTCATTTCTAGAATTATGAACCATAGATTTGTGCCAGAAAGACAGTTGATGAATAAAAATAGCTTGAAAAAGCTTGATGAATGACATATGCGACCCGTGTTATTAAATGGAAGCGCATCATGGCAATGTGCTGTCGCTTGTAGTATTCGTTATTCGTGAAATCCTAGCTCGCAATTCAATTTTTAGGTTCAAACAACATCTCCATTTGCCCTTGTTCTACTAAAACTGTACAACGTTTTACCAAAATTCAAGCAAAAATCATATGTCTCAAATTTCAAGGTCCACAAATTCAAGGAAATGCATAATGATGATACATCATCTCAACACAATTTTTCTTTGGGCATACTTTTACCAAACTCAAAAGCGAGAGATCCGCATAAATCGTGAAAATAATTAATAATTAACAACAAATGAATAAATAAATATTTTAGCTTCAATGCGCATTTGCAGCAAATCTATTCGATATATCGTATATAAAGTGAATCTTGTAAACTTGTATATAGTTATTCTACATCACTACTAGCTCATAGCATTCAGACTTGTCACCGGTTCGTCGGCTTTCCAAAATGAATATCGCAGAAAAGTGAATCTAACTAATATTTTTGCTTCTCGGTAACACGCGAAAGTCATGTTTTCACTATTATACACGTTGTATTTTCTAGAACAATAAGATCATTTCTCCCTTTCATGTATTTCTTGAGGTATTACTTTTGATTTCTTTCAAACGCGTTTCGTTTGTTTTAAGTCTGCTAACTATTTGACGCAGGAGACCTAGTTTTCGGTAGATCTCTGCGCTTAATATTTCTTACGTTCTTTAACCCTTTCCGGCATGTTACCTTTTAAAGTTGGAGTTTTGATTTAAAAAAAAAAAAAAAGATAGGCAGTCTAATTAGGCCTACAGAAATACTTAAGTAAAATTTTGTGAAGATGGCGCTTATCGTTTTAATTCTGTGGGTGTGCCCAAAGTGGCACCACTGATTGAATAGAGCTTCGAAAAGAGTGCTGAAACGAGCATTGTTGTCAGTGAACTGACCTATGAGATGCGGAGAAACAAATAATACACTCTCTCAGTTGTCCTAGATTATCGGTGAGCCCGGTCTGGGCACACCTATGGTTCGCCGTTTGATTTTAGGCAAGATTTCAAGGTAAAAACTTAAAACTAATATAGAATAAGGAGATTAGCATACAGTCAAAAATAACATAGAAATTTCTTTTCAAATAATTCCTTTCATACCCTAAAATATCTGTAAGGTTTCTTTGAAAAATGAGGGTCCTAAAAAACTAAACATGGCTAAAATATATGGACTGGGTTGTGTTAAGCTGCCATCTACTATAAATGAAGAAGGTTCAGCGTAACCTATAAATCCTTTTTCATTCAATTTTTCTGTGCGTACAGAAGGAAATTTTTAGGTGTGTCCAGACCGGACACACTGTGCCGCAAAGGGTTAAGACCCAGCATTTACAGTTTTCAACTTAACCTTATGACCAGCCGGATAAATTTCCCAAAGTTACTATGAGAGATAATTATTTTCTTGATTTCAATGTCAGAATGTCTATGGTACTTTATACCCGCCTCGCTGAAAATAATGGAAATTCAATTAATCCGTCCCCTAAAAATATCAAGATAAAAATCAATTTTTCTAATAAATAACACTGGTAAATAATATAACCGTAGTTAACTTTTATGATAGCTTTTGACAAATGATAACTTTCAACACCTGCATCTCATTAATCCATACCAACAACAGCTTCCAGGAGTTCTGGATGGTGCTTGGAAGTAACGGTAACTCCTTTGCTTACATCAAGTTTGCTTACATCTTAAGTCCTTTGCTTACATCTTAAGTTATTCTTTCTTCTTCAGAATAGAATAGTGCAGATCTTAGATGTCAAAAGGGCGTAAGTCTTCACCAATTCCGCCACTCTTACACCACGCTTATGTTTATCTATGATTTCTTTCTTAATTTTAACAGCCATGGCTTTCTTCTTTTTCTTTGCAACACTATCTGAGGCAACAAGCTTCTTGAGAGGCATAGAGAAATAATCATTTTCACGTTAAATGTAATAAACAATTAACTCACAAGAGCTCAAACACGTAGATCAAAGAACACTGAGTGATCTGAAGAGGGAATTCCCCGAGTCGAGTCGGATCGGGAAGTGGTACCACGCATACCAACAGCCTGGCTCATTGCTCGTTACTCTAGTCAATGCTAGTATTTAGAAATAAATGTCTCGCTCGCACTTTCCTCGTATCCTCGAATTTTTCGTATATAGAGGTGCTTGTATCTCGAGGTTCCACTGCATTTCCTTAATTTCTTGGACATATTTACATATATACATACATCTTGGACATACGTATATATACGTTCTTACAGACATCACAAAAAAATAATCTATGCCGTATATATACGGCCTTGCCGGTCAGATGGTTTTAAAACGATAAACAAGCTGCTCTACATATTAAATAAGCTCTAATTGGTAACCATTCTTCCCCAGATGCATGCTATTAAAAGTAATAATGATGTTATTAAAAGGATTTTTATAAAATCCTCAGGTGCTACTAAAAAGAATGAAACTTACAAACTCCACATGTCGACAGGTTTTCCGTAGACTGATCTATTTCGGAAGAGTTCGGGGGCAGCATAATCCACGGATCCGCAATGAGTTCTTAATCGGTAGCAGGGATAATACACGTTACTGAGTCCAAAATCTGAAAAATATTAAGCTGAATATTAAGTTTTATTTGAGACCGCAAACAGTTTAATTTCCCCGGGCACTTTTTTAAATGATTTCTCTCTGTTAAATACTTCAAAAGTCTTTTACACGTGATACAGTGCTGAGTTGCTGGTTTGTGGCTATGTACGTATTTTGGGGAATAGTAAATACACTTGCGAGCTCAATATATTATGTGACTGTATGCGTTAGATTTTATATGTGTGGCACATATTGAAAGCCAGAGTTACACATAATAGCTGCGTAATTTTTTAAACAGATTTATATTAATTTATTTTTATTAGCCCCAAAGGGGCGCTAGTCAAAAATGTGATGTTAGTTTTGAAACGGCATTATGCGTCGAAACACTTAAAATCACTGTATTCCTTTTCAAATTGGTTGCCACCGAATATTACCGCTCTCTGTTAGACTTAAAAATAATTCAATAATGAAGAATCTGCATGAATGTACGTACGTTTCTCGCATTGTTAAAGAACAACTGTACCTAGAGTCATCCAGTTTTGAATGACGTAGTCCTCCACCCGAAAATGGGCGCCTGGAAGCCCGAATTTTTAATTTCGAATTTGTTATAATATCTATTTCATGCTTTGAAAAACTTTAACGAACTTTTGGTTAACAAACTGAACGATTTCAAAGCTAGGAGTGGCAACACTGTACGGAATAAAACATTTTTACCTCCAGCATACAAAACTATCTATCGGAATTTCTAAAAATATGCTGTTTTTAAATATTTCGTGATTTTACTGTTGAATTTATTGGTATGTAGTGCAAGTGAGAAGAATATGATATTTAATTAATAAATTTAACACGCGAAATGTTAATAATAATAATAAAAAAACAGTTTTGCTTGTCATTTTTTTACTAAGAAAACTGAATACTGATATGCTGAAGTTGGAAAAGACTGAAAAAATAGGAGAAAAAAAATCTAAAATCCTTCAGATATTACATTATGCCCAAAGGGACATTTTTTTAACCTTTTGGGTGTTACCTTTATTTATTAAATGTTCTTTGCACTTAAACCATAAAATTCAATTTTAACAGCAATATCGCAAAACAATTTTTTAAATGAGCGTATCTCTAGAATTTCTGGATGTACAGTTCCGCGCGCTAGAGATAAAATGGTTCCCCCCCCTTTGCCGGTAAAGTGTTGCCATTGCTCGTTTTCAAATCGTTGTATTTGCTACTCAAAAATTCATTAAAGTTTTATAAAATAGGAAATTGATCATAAAACAAATTCCAGATTTCAAATTTGGGCTTCCACATGCCTATATTCGTAGGAGGATTACGTCATTCAAAATTCGATGGCTCTAGGTACCGTTGTTTCATCACAATGCGAAAAATAGACATAGATTTATGCAGATCTTTCATTATTTAATTTCTTCAAATATAATGCAGGACTCTAACATTCGGTGGCAACAGTTTGAAAAGTGAAACGGACATTTATAGTGCACCAACGCAAAATCGCAAAACGTAAACAATAGTCCTTCAGGGACAAAGCCACTATAAAGGTATACTAATACTTATCACTACATTCGGAATTTTAAACATATGCCGCTTTGCTGGGTTTAAAATTTTTACAATTTTTTCCTTGAACTGTATATTATATAATCGCAAAGAAAATTATGCTAAAAAAGATAAAGATAAAAAGAAGTGAATGTAATAGCAGATTGGTGGACAGAGCTCAGCCAGAGCTTAAAGAACCTTAACAAACCCTTTTGGGCGACAGTTACACTCTGAAATCTTTCAGGTTTTTTTTAATAACTAAATCATATATACCGTATTTGCTGGTGTATAAGACGCACATTTTTTTTTCTTTCAAAATAGGTCTGAAAAACTGAATGCATCTTATACGTCGATACTCAGTTTTGATTACATTCACTTCTGGATATTTCCTGTATTCGGAATTAGGTGATTTTCTTGTTTCCTTGCGGAGTGTGGGAGTATTAGTTACAGAGGGAGAGTTCAGTGAACGCGCATGCTCTGTCATCGACGATCACAGCTGGGTTCGTTTAAACTTTCCAATTTTTGTGAAAGATTTTTAAGTGTATGAATTTTCTACTGTTCCGTTGTCTTAAATTTGTTGGTAAGTTATGGCTCAAAAATAACGTCGGCATTGCTATAACATAGCATACAAGCTACGTGTAATTGCGTATGTTAAACAACCTGGAAACAGGGCTGCAGAGAAGCATTTCGGGCCACCCCCAACTGAGAAAATGATTCTTCATTTTGCTCTGCAGATGAGTGTCTGGGTTTGGACGAAGAACTTTAAAGTTGTTCTTTCCCAGATATATTAGGTATTTGCAGAAAGTATTACTTTGTATTTGTACTATTTTATATTTAAAATACTGTAAATTCATTGCAATGATCAGTATAATAAAGTTTTATCCTTCAAAAATGTGTATAGAAAAGGAGGTGCGTCTTATACGGCGGCAAATACGGTATATTATTATTAACCTATGCATAAAGCATGAAAAACTGAAAATATGATTTAAGTAGATAGCAGCTTGACACTGCTGTACATTTTTTTAAGAATTTTTGAAGGTAGGATATTCATCTACATACGTTTCTAAGTTTGCTTCCTAAGTTTCCAGAATGGACGTTCAGTAGCGTGTAAGGTATTTCTCCCGCCTTCTTAGCATGCCTTCGAGGTGTAGTGGTCAGCACGCTCGGCGCGTATTCGAGAGGTTCGTGGTTCGAGTCCCGGTGAGGGCAGTGCTTACTTTTCACAACTCCTGCTTCAAAAATAACCTAATAGTTCTACAGTGGCGCCCGAACTAAAAAGGTGGTGGATGATGATTCTTCACCACCAGGAATTAGCGATGGGGTCTCATAATCCCCAGTCGCCCTTTAAAAGGGAGAGTATATGAGGTATTTCTCCCTCCTTCTCAGCATGCCTTCGCGGTGTAGTGGTCAGCACACTCGGCGCGTATTCGATAGGTCTGTGGTTTGACTCCCGGCGAAGGCACTGCTCATTTTTCATCTCTCCTGGTTTAAAAAAAACGTGATGTCTGTAAAAACGTAAATATTAAAACAAATCTAAACTAAATTTATTTTCTTATCACTATGCAGCTGTTTTGTAATCGCAGCCTAAAGTAATTTCCAGTTTTTCACGTATTTCACATGACAAGGTTTTTGGTGTAAGAGTAAATATTTCTGACGATGAGTTGCAAGATTCATTATTACTTGGTGAACAGCAGCATGTAAAAATATTTTCGTAAAACTAAATACTTTTGTGAAGATAATATAATCTCATTTCTGTGACGATAACAGTATTTTATTCATACTAAACAAGTATTTTGATGAAATACCGGAAAGGGATTAAAACCTGTTTTGCGTTTAAGGTTATTAATTATTAAAAGTGAAACCTATACAACACAGTTAATTTATTCTCAACACAGTGACCGCTTTGAAATATTACATATAACTTTGTAAGTTGGAATGATTGGCAAATGGGCATCAAAATGAGTTAACCTTGCAGTAGCGTTGACAAACAAGCACTGAATATGAATTACTAGCTCGCAGGAACAACTATTCGTTACTTTCAGACATTAAAATACGTATATTCATGACTTGTAGCACGATGTAAAGTTACGGTAAGACTCGCAGATATTGTTATGTAAATCATCACAAGTTTTGCGAGAATTAGTAAATTACACAATCTGAGTAAGGCTGTGATTAATAATGCTACGTTGTTTTCTTCCTTCACATTCGTACGGGGTTCGGGTGGATTTGCAGTGAATAACGATGACACTTGATGAAGTATCGAAACACACTTTATTAACCAATATTAATCAGGACAGCTCCAAAACACTTTTACAGTCGTCGAATATCTACAATAAACACGCTGGAACAATCAGCGATACAGCCTTCACACTATCAGGCAATAACGGCGGAGACAGCTTCACTGCAAAGCACCAGAGTACAGCTCCCGACTCTGCCCGTTCGTTCTCGGAACTCCACGTACTGTCGAGAATCTTCACGCTACAACTCGCGATGCACTCGACGACACACAGAGCACAGCTCCCGACTCTTCGGTACCAGTCGTTCCCGGAGCTCAACACGCTCTCTCGACGACGCACTAACCGCGATACATTAAGAGACACTTCGAGACACAGATTTGAATCTGGGTCAAAGTAGATTTTACCACTCGGCCCAAATTGAACAGAATCATGTTTACACGAAATTGTTTTACATAATGAAAAAATCTGATGTGTACACCACAAGACTTCCTTGTACGTAATATTAAATTATACGCGTTTTTTTCTAGATTTCATTTAATTTTATTTCCTCGAATTTCATTCGAGATATACTTCTCATTCAAGGAATTCAGTTTTCACTTCGCGGCAAAACAAAAATACATAAAAAACTCAAACTGTGTTTATTAATAATTGAAAAATATAAAGCATAAATATAGTTAAAACAGTTTTTACAATTACCACGAGAGTTTATACAATTCAAAAAACGAGCAATTCGGCCAGCGTACAAGAAGGCACAGTTTTCGAGGCAAAAAAACTGAAGGTTTACTTTTGATTCCACTCGGCAAAAAGACACTGAAGGTGTAAAACCTGACTTAATTTCTTGTGAACACTATGATGAGTCAATATATGGCATAATGTAATAACTTAAATGTTAATTCCAGAAAGAATTAAACATGTTTTAATTCACAGTAAGAGAAGACTTTATCTTTGTTGTTGTGAGGCTCAGTTTTTCTAGATTGGCAACAAATCGACTATTCTGCTAATTTTCAATTAGGCTTATCCGCACTTAAAAAGCGTATATATTGTTGATAATTCTACAATTATTGCATGTAGATGAAAAATAGCATAAAATCCTTAACCGAAAGTAAAAACAACATAATGCGATCACTTTTAAAGCAAAAAATGCACAATTTACCAACACATAAGAATAAAAAAAAAACTGAGCTCACCCAGCCGAGTAACAGAGTAGGTATATATATACTTTTGGATGCGCTCGATTGCAACCAAAAAGGGAGGTGCGCAACTACATATAATAGCAGTCCTATATACAAAATTTCAACTTTCGAGGCTACTCTTTTTTGAGTTATGCTAGATACATACGTACGTACAGACGCCACGGAAAAATCTCTTCTGAATCCATTTGGAATCAGTTTTTTAATTCGTTTGGAGAAAAAGAGTCCTTTATTTTGTGCTTACGTACGGATGTCAAGTAAAACTATCCTTAAATTGCAAATCAAGATCTTACCTTTCGCTCACAATCTTACTAAATCTCCTGACATATCAACCATGGATTTTTGCGCTTGTGGACTTTTAAAAAGCACATTATCCAAACGTCGAGCAAGAACCCTCCTCGGACTTAAAAGGAATAATATAAAATACTTCTTCCGATACCAAAACGTTTTATTGTCTTCGAATTTATGGTATAGAAAGATAGTGAAAAATAAGGGATAAGAAATAGAAGATTTAAAACTCAAAACTTTTAGGTTAAAATATTTCTATAAATACAATGAAAATCGTCTAAACATTGCGCGAACAGCCTTTGTATTCTCTTCCCTTCTCTAAAGTATTCTCTTCGAAATATGGAAAAAAAGTTCTCAGTTCTCCAAGGGAATTATTCTTGGTGCAAACTGGAAAAAAATGCACCAAGATAAATTTTTTAATTTATCCATAAATCTTTCACCGAAAATAACAAATTTTAATATCTAGGCATAATTTGAGTCGTAGAATCGAAATATGGAAAAAAATTGGTATGTTATTTCAGAAAAAGTCCGATTTTGTGTCAAAATACCTATGTTGTAACAATGCTATATATAAATCTAATATATATCCTAAGTCGCGCTTTCGAGACATGGAAAACGCATGTTAAATTTCTTCTTGTGGTATTCTTTTTTGTCTAGTAAACAATTGGTTACATTTTAATCTATTATCTAGTTATCAATGCAGTATGAGCCCAAGGTTCCTGTGTTCTGACATAATAATTCTAGAAACGAGTTACTCTCGTATTGCAGTGAGTCGTTTATATGCAAAGTAATACATTTTTTGGAATTTCTAAATTGTATGACAATGCATTATCTTGTTTACAGGAAAAGTTTCCTCATTTTCCTAACATTTACATTAAGAACGAAACCTCATGGTTATCCTATAATGCCGCTGTTTCGCAAGTGAAGTAACATCGATAAATATATAATTTGAAATACAGAGGCTGTTCGCACATTTTTGAGACGATTTTGGTAAGCGGTAATAAAAACTCGTTTGCTGCAAAAGAAGTAATTGCAATGGTACTATGTTTTTAAAAGTCAAAATTATCGTCTGTGGCTTGAAAGTTTTGTTTTTATTCAAAATGGCGTATTTAACAAAGCAGTGGTTCGAAGGCTACATTTACGCTTTTTTCGAAGAGAAATATGCATACTCCGTTATCCAAAAACGATGTGAGAGTCATGGTTTTGTGATATCTAAAGCGTCGATAGGTAATATCATCAACAAGAAAGGAAAAAAACGTCAAATTGGAGCCTCAAGTGGGACAAAAATTCCAAACAAGTATCCAAGGAAAAAACGGACATCTTCGACTATTGCAAAGGTACGTTGTTTAATGTTAAAAGAAATTCCCCTAGTCAAAGGACAGTTGCAAAATCATTAAAATGCTCGGTGTTCACTGTAAACAAAATGATAAACGTTGATTTAAATCTTAAGAAAGCGAAAAAACGCAATGTGCATCGTCTTCTTCCAAAGCATATCGCTCAACGCAGGACACGCTGCAGAATTCTATATGAGAAACACTTATCCAAAGAAAAATGGAAAAAATTGTCACAATAGATGAAGCATGGGTGTATTTTAAATGATTGTAACAAAAAAAGAGCCATTTATTATCATAAAAGGGGAGAAAAAAAATTTAAGTACATGGTTCAAAGAATCGAAAGAAAGTTTTTCTAAGGGATTCGTGATTGTTGCTGGTTTTTCTTATAATGGCAAGTTAAAAATAAAGAGAGTGCAAAAAAAATATTAAGATTAACTCCAAATGCTATCAGGAACCTATTTTATCGCCAACTGTTCTGAATGAAATGCCATCGCTTAACCACAGTGCCATCGATCTGTGAGACTCCATCAGGACAAAGCTAGCAGTCACACATCAAAATCCACTGTAAATTTCCTAAAGAAATGAACAAAAAACTGGTATCAAGGCCATACCCTTCACTGATATCCCTACTAAATCTCCCGATGTGTCACCTATGGATTTTTGTGCTTTCGGACTTTTAAAAAACTGCATTATCCAAACGTTGTCCCGAAACCCTAACAGGACTCTGGAAAGCTGTTCGGGAGGAATGGGATAGAATATCTCTTCTGCCACTTCAAAGGCATTATTATCCTGAAATTGCGTGGTCGAAAGATAGTTCAGAATAAGGGATCTCAAATAGAACATTTAAAACACAAGAATTTTACGTAATTTAGTTTTGTGAATACAATATACATCGTCTATAAAATGTGTGAACAGCCTCTGAAGACAGATCTATGACATTTACTTACACTCTTCAACAGTATCTTCTTGCGAGGCAGACAGTATTTGATGGTACCACATCTATACTGTGATCAAATTCTTGCTTTCTAAAGCTGCTTATCACGTTTGGTACATCGCATTTTATTCCATGGAAATCGTCATAATTCATAAACAAAAATATATCAGTTTTAAATGTCGCACTCTGAAATTTCATTCCCGATATCGTGTAATAGTTTATTTTAATCAATTATACTTCCTTGTAAAAAGCTGTAGTTAGCTTGCAAGCGTTTTAACGGAAACGAAAAGCAACTTTCAGTTTTTGAAAAGTAATAATTTGCTAGAGAAAACAATGTCTTTTGAATTTTTGAAATTTTCTGACAGGTTTAATCGAAAATCGGAAATCCAGGAATATAACGAACATTCTCAAGAATCATGGCAATGGGTTTCTTATAAATCACGCAGTTTTTCACAAGCTTCCCAAGCAAATATTCTTCAAGTATTAGTATTACATAAAAATAAAACATCTTTAATTGTTTTATATATAATCAATCCGAATTTTATGCTCAAAAGAATAACTTAAATTCCCTGGTTAAGCTGTTACAGGTTTTCCGCTTCTGACAACCAAGTATTTAAAACTATGAGTTACATTATATGAAAGCATAATTTTACAATTTTTTAGCTCAAATAATAAAACAGAAGACTTCTATATTAAAATATTAAAAAATCTGAACTTTAACTAGAAGAATGGGAAGATTCTTACCTACAATTTTTACTACTCTTTCATGCTCTATAAGTATATTCTCATGTTTGAGATCCCTAAAATGTAATAAAGAGTTCATTAAAAACTGAAGAGTTAATCTCACCATTCATGAAGCAAATATAATTTTAGTGTAAGAAATACAATTATATTCTAAGGAATTAAGATATTCCTCCTATCCCAACTTGCATAGTCATTTGGAATTTTTCGAAGACAGAAAACGGAAGAAACTCCTAATGCCCACCGCAGGAATCGAACTCCAGGTCTTTTGATAATCAGCCAGACATGCTTTCCAATTACAGTTACAGGTAGAAGCTAGGCAAGCATCCCACAGGTAACAGAGGTATAGCTGAACCTAACTGTTGTTAAGCTTCCCTCCTAATTTTGAGGCAGGGGTTGGTCTGAGGAGAAAAGGGTCTCACCCCTTTTCTCTTACCCTAACCTCTTTAGATGGCTTTCTATTCACCGTGTATTTTGAGTGCCCCTTGCGGCACAGACACTATACGCTTAAAAGGACCCCCCTTGCGGCATAGACACTATACGCTTAAAAGTTTCCGGGACTCAAAAACCGGACCCATCGGCACGGCAGTCAATGTTACTAGCCATTATGCCGGCTGGGAGGCGCTTTCCAGTTACACCATAAAGGCACGCAGTAAGGAGGGAGAAAATACCTTGCATTCTCTCCAACTTAAACTGTGTCTCGGGATAAGGACAGTGACGAATTATCGCTGCCAACATTTTAGTTGAGGCACCACTTTTAGATTATAATTATAATTTTTTGGACTCTGGAAAACATCAGGAATCACCGACGCCCTCACTGGAACTCGAACCCTTCAACTGTTAGCAGAACGTGTTTTCCAATTACACCCCGAAGGCATGTTGTAAGGAACGCGGGGTAAAAGCCTTGAGAACAAGCAGGTGCCACGAGTGCTTTAAGCTAGTTCTCGTTCCCTCACATTCTCTGGTTTAATAAATACAGTAAAGTGGCTAAGCGCTAATTAGGTGATAGCCTGTATGGATGAGCATCTAATTCATTTAGGATTTTTCCAAACGCGAATTTTTGAGAGGCCTCAGTTTTTACTTATCTCTCTTGTGGTACTGTTTGAATATGTGAGGGCGTATGATAAGACATTTAAAGTTTTGTGCGTTACCTTTATTTACTAAATATCATGTTCTTCGCACTTTAACCATAAAATTCAGTTCAACAGCAATATCGCAAAATAATTTAAAAAAATTTACTGTAGTTCCATACACATCACGCGCCGCTGGACAAGTTTTTTTTCCCGATTCCTCGTTCGAATCGTTGAGGTTTTCTTAATCCAAAACTCATAAATGCTTTACAAAATATGAAATAGATAATAAAACAAATTCCAGATGTCCATACTCGGGTGGAGACATACATAATTAAAAATTTGATGGCTCTAGGTACTGTTGTTTTATCACAATGCTAGAAACATACAAACGTTTATGCATTCTTCATTATTTAATTTCTTTAAATATAATAGAGGGCGATAATATTTGGTGGCAACAATTTGAAAAGTGAAACGCCACAGAATATCAAAACGAAATTAATACAGTAACACCTTTTGGGCTAATAAAATAAATGAATTAATTTGGAGTTCCTATTTATATTTTCCGAGCCTTGGAATTGATCATACTCGATCGCTTTTGAAATTGCAACTGACTTTGTTGGAAGACCACGGCTGTATTACTCAGTACATTTGCATTCTTTTATCAATCTTTCCTTATTGAAAGCTATAAAAGTTGAACGAAAGATTTTTTTTAAACAGAGTGAAAGAAATATCATCGAGAAGTTTACCATTTTCAATTTGCTGATTTCCTACCCTGGCAAAATACAAGTACTGACATTTGAGAGAAATATTTGTTGCAAGCCTCGTGCGAAAACCATCTAGTAAAAGAAATACACATCTTGCAATTTAAAGTCTTTATTTACACAATTTTATTTAACTTGGTTTCCTTATTTGCTTAGGTTAAATCTTGAAATTAATTTCTGAGCCCTTTCTACCTACTCGAATTCCTTAAAATTTGTTTTACACATATGTTTTTGTGATGAAAAATCTATTATTAAGCAGGTATTGATTCAAAACTATCTCTTTTCGTTTAGACTAGAATTTTTCCCATGCATCCTTGATTGACAGTCAAACTAATGATCGCAGAATTTCGATCTGTATACCATCCAATACACAGCAAAATAATCTTCCAAATGAAGTTTTTCCCGAATTTCTAATGTTTAATAAGCATTTTGGTGATTTCAGAAATCCTTATCCTACTGTACGTTTGTTAACAATGACGAATTTCGCAATGAAAAGATTTGATCTCTCATTATTAACATTCCTTGATTTAAAGAAGTTATGAGATTAGATTTCTAAAATTAAACATAAATTTGAAAACAAATTAACATCATCGAATAAATACAGGTAAAAAGGACTCTAAAGGAAAAGATGGTATCGCTTATTGATTTAAAGGAAATGAGAAATAATTTGTTTGCGTTCAAAAGGCATTGATTTTCTTTATTAAGTTTTCACTTTTATAGACTAAAAAGGCATAAAATAAAATTAAAAAGACAATTTTAAAACCATGCAGTTTTAGTTAAATGCATTAAAAAGGAATAAATAAATTTTAGCTAGCCACACACGAGTAAAAATAAAATCGTGGGACTCCGATATCCGATATACGCACATATTAGCAAAATTTAAAAGAACAGTAGAAACGATAATTAAAATTCTTCTTTGAAAATTTTTATTTAATATTTTCCAGCAGCAGTTAAATACTATTCCCACTTGATCACATGCCCTTCACACCATCCAGAGGAATTCACCGAAAAATGTGGGGATGGTCTTAACGTTTTAGTTCGTCAGTATAGATAACATTCTGCCACAGCTACGGACAGCAGCAATAGAGAACTGTCAAAGTGAGTGGATCAACCGCCACGTTGGCCAGAGGAAAAAAAAAAAGCCATGAACTTGAAAAATATACAATGTGGAAATTTTTTTCAAGACAGTGACGTATTATCATCATTATAGATATCTTTTCAAGTTCAGTTTGAACTTGTTTTGTTTCAGTTTTCAGTCTTTCAGTTTGAACTACCATTGTAAATCCTACATAACAGTATACTTAATATTTGTACAGCGTATTTGTAAAATACATTAGGGTGATATAGTATTGCATTAATATTATAATTGTATCGTATCGTTATAAGTATGTAAGTGTACGGGAGCGGCGGTGTTTAAGTGCTTATCTTATTAATTGTAACATATATTGCCCAGTATTATTTAGTTTGTATATGTGTAATGGTTTTATAAATTTTTATAATCTTTGGTAACATAAACTAATATCAAATTCTTAACAGGCATGGAGCGAATTATCGTAGCGTCTGAAGTTAACGACTGAGACATGAAAAGGTTAAAATGACCTTCTTAGTAAATTAAAACTTTAATATAAACGCGCTTCTCGTGCTAAGAAGACCGTCCAGAACTTGTTCCCGTGTAACTTAAAGTAAAAGTTATATTCAAAACTTAAACTAAGCCTCGTAGTGAAGGACTACACGATTGATTTTAAATTTCTATAAAAATTTATAAATAAGGGGGCTCAGAGTAACAATTAAATGTCGGCAGGAAAAACGCAAAGCAGAATTACAATGTTGTCAGAGCTGGCAAAACCTAGTAACGTGTACTCGAGAAGCAGAAACATGCTCTGTCTTACAGTTACAAACCTTCGACTTACGAAACCTCTAAAACACTCTTTTTCTAAATTTCTGGTGGGGAAATGAAAAAATTAGAAGTTATAGTAAAGATCTAAAACATAACAACTGGTTAATTAAACTAATAATAACCCTACATTTTATGACCATGTACGCGTTTTTAAATGAGTATATCAGTTTGTTGTAACAGTATTGTATTTCGAGAACCCCAGTAACCCAGTTTTTTCTGTTTTTAAACCCAAAAAAGAGCTCATGCACTGCAGCTTAACAACACTGCAGCGTTAAGCGTATGGCTGACTTCATTTCTTGCACTGTACGTTCGTTGTCTTCACTAAAACAATAGCTCCCATCAGACATGTCTCCAGACTTGTGAAATAGAATCACTGGCAAGGTTTAGACAGGCTGAAAAACACAATCCCCAAGTGGACCAGCTGCTCTGTCTGAGTAAAGTACTTTTGCGTTCTACGGGTTCGTGGGTTGTAATAACGGATGACAACACTTGATAAAGAATCAAAACACAATTTATTCGCCAGTAAGCACTATTACAAGGATAATTCCAAAGACAAATTTACTCTCGTCGAAAAACTATGACAAGCACGCTGAAACAATCAGTAACTCAGCCTTCAGGCTATAACATTAAAGTACAGCTCCCGTCTCGATCGATCACTCTCAAGCTAATCTCTGAAGTCAAGACACTACTTTCTCTCCGTACAGGCAGGGTATATATACCTTTAACCTACCTTCGAGAATATTCTCGAGAAAACCGCTAAAAATTAATTCTATAATTCTCTCGCTCCGTCTATGGCACATAGCCAAGTTTGTCGCCAAATAGGCGATTTCGCACCACATTTGGCAGCCCTGCCTTTCACTGCCACTTTCTGGCAACCCTAACCCTGCTTTTGCGGGGAATCTATCTCTTGTAGCTGGGCATTTTGCAATAGTTCTATTCAGTAAAACCGTGTAATGTGAAAGATTTTTGCATGTGCTGTTATTTTGGTTCAAAAACCGAACTGTCTTCTTCGGGTTCTCGAAATACAACAGTGTTGCAAACATACTGATGTACTCATTTGAAAATATATACATGGCAATAAACAATTACACATATACGAATAAAATAATACATACAATATATTATACAGTTTATTTGCTAAGGGCTTAAAAATATTGTTCATTTCTGCGATACCAAAACTATCGTGTACCAGTACAAATACATATAACAATACGATTGTCATATGTTGGGTTGGCAAAAGAGTAATTTCGGTTTGTATAAACAGACAGCGTTATGTTCGTTTTGTTATTCGTCTGTCAATCTTATGTAATTTTTTTTGTTTTGGAATG